TAGAAAAAATAATATGATAATAAGGACTATGATAGAACGGTTAATCTGATCACTTTTTCCTACTGAAAGAGAGTCTTTATATTTTTATAAAGGGGCATAAAATTTTGGTAATGACTTACTTAGCATATTGGCTACTGGTAAGGTGATCGCGCTTGAATCAGGTCCTACAACTCCTATAACTCCTCTGCTGTCATCCGCTACTAAATGTTCTAGAAGAGTTTGATTACAACCATGTCGAGTTAGTTCGTGATAGTCTACATGATGAAATTTCTTTTCCGACCATGGTAGAAAATTAATTGATTGTTGTAGTGTATGCTTAACGTTCGAACAAGTATCCCGAATATCGTATCCTAACGTCACTCCAGGTAGAAGATTTTTATCTCGATTAATTTGATCCACAGCATAAATCATTGCCATCATTTTGTATAACCCTCTAAAAGCAAATTCATCACATTGACCAATAGATTTATTGTAACTGTAATGGGCAAAAAATAAACCTCCTAGAATATAATCGCCGTCATGATAAATTGCTAAAGGATTCGTTTCCAAGATTTTATATTTCTTTTGATTATTAAGGCCATTAACTGGACATGATGATGTTATACATATCAAGCAAATTATCAATAGAACTACCCTTATTTTGATAGATTGCATGTAATCTACTTGATCATATTTTACTGCCATGATTTATTTTTGGTTTCCAGTTTTTTCGTCGTGCATTTCTGTCAGGTAATATTTATCGATTGACAATTGTCAGTATTTAATACTGTGGAATACAACAAGATGTACGACGGCACAATTAGCCAAAACAATTACAGGAATACTTCGAAATAATCAATCAATCAATTAGTTGAAGCTGAAAGCTACAAAACTAGAAAAAACTATATCATGAATAATAAATGATTTCATATTGAATAAAGTTTGCCTCGCTATTTTATTAGTATGAAGCCTTGTTCCTATAGAAATAGTACCTAAAGTATTGATTGAGAAAAAAGCAGTTGTATCTCCGATATTTTACAACAATAGAGCTACGTTACCGTTTTATTGTAGTAGCCAAATTCACGAGAGTTATATTTCATATTTTGACGTATTTGCGTTTGTCTATTAAAAAAGAAAATAAAAAAAATGATATAGATCAATTGAGAATTAAAAAATGAATAACGTAGAAATTTTACTTTCGTAAAATTACCTTATAATGTTTGTTGGATTCAATTAATGAATTATACAATTTTTACACGAAGATTTTCATTTATTTATGAACATCTCTATGCTCATGTACATTATTTTATCTTGTACTCTAAAATTGGAATAAGTTACATTTATTAAATATTTGATCAATATTTCAGAGTACACCTTTTATGTCACACAACCTCAATCTAGGTTGTTATGGTGATGCCAATCTTGGAATAAAGCCAGCTTTCAATTCTTCACGAGCTCATTTGATGATATTAGTTTCTTAGACTTTTCATGCATTGATACAATGCGAAATATTATCCCAGGGTATCATGATATTTGCAAAATGTATTTTGCCTTATTTCTAGACTCTGTGTCTGGAATATTGTAATTTCTTAGTTAAATTGAGGAGATCATAATTATATTGACTATGAAATCGATGCCAATGTAATGGTATAGATATCAATGTTTAATGATTAACAGGATATAGCAATTATGATTGAGTACACGATATTATTCTTTATCTTCCTTATAAAATCGGCCGATAATGAATCATAATGAATCTCCTTAGCTATTGGCTTAGGAGTTATCGAAGTTATCCATTAGTGTGATTAACTGTAGAGATTAAGTCTTCATCACGGCTGCATTATGAAGAAAATGAAGTATTACAGCACTTTGTTAGCAAATTCTAAAAGAAATAGTGCGTAACAAAACAACAACATCCGATTCATTATACGTAATTATAAATTCAATTATTTCACTTTTGATATAAAAAAAAATAATATCAATAATATACCAAACGAGAAGCTAAGACTGCCAATTTGTTGATGTCGATGAATATTGTATTGATGAGTCGAGGTGATAATGAAATGTAGGATTTCGAAGTGTAGTCAAAGCATGTTTTATTAAATGGATCTATTTAAGTTCTATTATCCTCGCATTTTGGTAATATTTTAGAAGATGAGTAAGATGATATTTCTGAAACTATTAATATTTTTGTATTTGGGACTAATGTTAGGGCCATTACTATCACATTATATAACACTGAATGTATAGCAGATACCATTCAACATTTGCGCATTATATTTTTTAGGTCAAAGTGGTTAATCTGTTCAATATCAATATCGGATATTAATCAAGCGCTTTGGGAAATTAATTGTTTATTCCAGTGCAGGACATTGAAAAGTTACTTCCACAAATTAGAATGTTCATGGCATTATTCTAGAATGTTATCAAATAATGATAAGAGTATCTGTACGAATAACTAAGTTAGCGCATGTTATCAGAGCTGTTATGCTCATTGCAATGTTTTAGAAAATCTCTCTAGATGTAGAATCACAATATAAAAGCTGGGCTAAGCTTTTATTAAATGTATTTGAAGTAAATAGATTAATAATATATAAACATTTACTCGAATAGACAATTAAATTGAATTACTTCATTACTGAATTGACGCAAATTTCCTGTCAACATCATTATCAACTTAAGAATAAAATACAGTAATAGTTTTATTTATACTTTAGTTAATTGAAAAAATAACCTTTGACAGAAACGTGTTTGTTTTTTTAATTATTTAGTGCCATTTATACATGCTGCATCCATAAGTGACAACAAATAAATGGCATCAATAAATTTTAAGCAATTTTATTGACCATCGGTAAATAAAATTTCTGGATACTCAGTACTGCATTTAATGTTGTAACCTAGACCTGCCCCAAAATCATGACTTAATTCCACATTTTAGCAACTAATTATATACAAGAGTGGATGTACATGTACAATTTTAATAAAGATTCAATTTTTTCTTTTTACATATTACTATAGATCTGTACTACGAAAAAATAATTTGCTTGGGAAAAATACTCTAAACATTAGGTTATTATGTTTAATCTCTATAAGTTTATAGTATCTAATATTGGGTTTAAATCAAATAATGCAGTCTCTTTGCCCTTTTTACTAAATTGAAATCAAGATTTTCTTCCTTAAACAGCAACTGATATAGAAATTCTACGTGTATAGTTTAGAAATTGCTTAAGTATCACGGCGGAAAATGCTATGAGGGTTCATCAAATATCAGCAAGACTTATTTCTCTACTTTTTATCTACACTATTTCTTATTTGAGCCATTAAATTATTATTATTATTCAAGATAATGCTTTGTAATCTCCAAGTTTCTTGAGATTAATAAAACCAAAATATTAGCGAATGATCTTAAGCGCTTTTGCAAATATAGTAGCGATTACTCTCAGATATTCAATTTATCAACGATAAATATTCAAATATTGTAGACTATCATGCAAGAAGATTATATGGGTATATTTAACATGCTGATTAGATCAGGTTGAGCTACAACTTGAAAGGTACTTCGAATTTAGTAACAGTTATTAATCTCCCTACCAACTGATCTCAAAACTGATCACTTCTACGCTAATACGTTCTATTTTCTGAAAAAGATATAATTCTATTCCATTGATGGATGGTTGGATAATTTAATGCACTTGGTATTTAAAAATTTGCTAACCAAGTTTAGGTGCATTTACTAACTATCAGTGAAAATTCATTTACTCAAAATTATTAACAGCGTTCAAACATGAAAAAAATCAAAATTCCAGTAATAGTTTACCCACATGTTTAGATATAATCTATCAGGCTATTTATTTAATCCTATTAATAACTATAAAATGCCATATAATTTATATATTATTCATTAAAGAAACATGAGATTCTATAGCTTTTCCGTAACTGCAATTTTTGTCTTAATTAGCAAACATTGCAATGTGAATAGTTGCTATCAATAATAAAAAACTTTAAATCACCCCAAATATCATAAGTTTATAAGGTTAAGGAGAGAAGAATAGGAATACTTCATCTACACTTTCTTATTAGACAATATATTCAATCTATTCTGTGAGCATTGAAATTATTGCATACCGGTAGTGAATAACTTGTTTTATTCTTAAGTAGTAGTATGTAGTATTGTCAGTTCCACTAAGAAATTTCCACGCTTACATTAATATTGACACTGAATAGTTAGTGACTTGTTTTATCCTCAATTAGTGCTAGGCAGTATTGTCAGTTAAATTAAGAAAATTTTACATGTACGCTCGTATATTAATAGTGATAATAAGCATATGTACGTAGACATGTTTCCCGCATTTTTTCACATTGTTACATATACTTCTATACATTGAAATTATTGCGTAGTTAGTGACTTGTTCTATCCTCTAGTAGTGGTATGCTATATTATCAGCTACGTTAAGAAAATACGCACATTTCCTTTAATTTTTCAGAATACCACATATACTTCTAGGCATCTGCAGATATGACCTAAAGTTTATATGTTAAGGTCAATCCTAGGATTTACCTCAACTATGCTATCTGGCTAATAATTTTCTATTTACTATCATACCGTAGCTCTGGCACATTAATGCTTTGAAAATCAATTCAAAATATCTTAAATAGAGATTCCGTCGATGAATGAAATCATGCATTATAGTAAGAAGAGGAACAACACCATAAGAAATCAGGAGTGATAGTTTCTTAGTTGCTTGCAAGGTCATATTACTGAAATTTCAAGAGCTATTATTCTCGCCAAACTTTAATAATTATTACCTTAATCAGAGATATATATTCTTTTCATCCTTTATTAGTTCTACTATGAAAGGTTTCAGAGAAAAAGGATCTGTAAACCATATTTCACTAGTATCTATTTTCTAAGTATTTCGATAGATTAACTGCATATTCGCAAAGGTATGTATTTTATACTAGTATTGGCGGAAATAGATAAGGCGAATCCTACTTTAGATGAAAAAGACTAAAATAAATGTTTATTTTGGTTTGGTATGAATTCGTGTATCAGCACCAAACGTAAATTCCTGGATAGATCGAAGCATCGCTTCTTTAGTATTCAGATCTGGCCTAAATAAAATTGTGTAGATTTTGGGAATAAACAGTAACAGTAATATCGATAATCCAAATGTAATAACGGCTATGGATGCAAATGTTGCTTGTAATAATCCTACCGTACTATAATAACCGGGCACACTTAAAGCAACTATGACTAATGTGCTAAAAGAACAAATAAAGATATAGCGAGCTTCACTGAAGTTATCGGGCAATTTTCTAGTCTTCCATGCTAAGATAGTGCAAATTATTGCCAAGACTAATGTAAAACCAACAACAAGGCCTAATCCAAGATGCAATTTACTTGAACATAAGATATGGACTTCATTTTCGTATCGATAATCAGGTATAGCATTTGGTGGATCAATAATAGTGAATATTAACCAAATAATTATGGGGATAGCTGTAATAGAAAGTACAAAGAGAATCGGAATAAGCGATTTACACCATCGACTTTGCAATCGAGAACTCTTGTCAACTTTCTGAATGCGTGAGCTAAGGGTAAATACATTAGCTACGTGTTTGGTTTTAGCAAGTAAACATGCTTCGCATAACGGGAAAGAAACACTACAAATTGCAAATTGGAACCAACATAGGCTTGTTGTCACTGCAAATTGGTAAGATCCACCTAGAATAAATAGTAGGGCAACGCTAAGTAGCTGTATGTGGGACATAATCTTGTTGGATGCTTTAACTATTGGTGTATTACTATACTTGAAAAAAATGATGACAATAAATAAAAGTGTTAACATGGAGAGGAGAGTAAAAATTAAAATTGTCAAATTGACTGGGTTACGCCAATCAAGTTTTGTTGGAGGAATTTCTTGACAGGCTGATCGATTATTTGTGGGCTTAAACCCAGGAGAACATTTAAAACATTGGGATGTAGTACCATTGGAAACTAGGCTTGGACCGCATTTCAAGCAGACGTAATAACAAGATTCTTGATCAAAGCTATGTTTGCGATCTCCAGGAGTACATGCTGTTTCATAAACTTCTGTAGGGATAGTTGTACTTTCACCATTACGCCAGCGAATTTTGTTAGTGTCCATTATCATTTCACTTTCAAAAGGATTCCACCTAGCCACTTCAACAAAATGAGAGCAATTGTCGTCATGATGCAAATTTTGGATTAAAATATGTCGTACGCCTTTATTTTGCTGAAATTCCACCGGCTGGTTAGCGTGATTGCTAAATTCAACCCGTTGAAGGTGATAATTAAAAATTGTATGATTGAATGTTTCAACGGAATTGCAAAATTCAATAGTACAATTTAATGTCTGATGCAGAGCATGAGCGATAGCATAAACTGCATCGATAACATAAATGATATCCTCATTCAATTCTGATTGATAATATTCACAGGAAGATTTCTTTTCATCGATGATTTCATAACTACCTAATCTGACTTCACAGTTTTCTTCATTTGGCGTACAGTTGTATAATTTTTTCCATAACTGATCTAAATGTACATTTCTAGTATCACTAGTAACATAATTCTCAAGATGCTTTGTAATTAAAACTGATCGAAAAGTTTGCGTTGATACAGCCAGTAGGCCGCCCATCACTTCTTTCCTGATGGAGTAAATTGCTGGCGATTTAACCCACTCACCAGCACCAATCCAAGTTCTACCAGTTAAATTTTGCCTTTCTGCTTCTTTCATAAATCTTACACCTTTTTCATAGGGTCCAAGCAAGACAACAACTTGAAGCTTATTATTTGCTTTTAAATTTTGAATTACTCGCGCCATTGCCAAAGACATCCGATCACCAGTAATGGAGAATTCCTGGGCGATACAAATTTTGGCATCTTGTAATATAGTCCTAAGTAGATCCATTCTGTAGCTTGTTTCTGGAGGTTCAATAGTTATAAGACAAATTCGTGTCATGTCTAATGCTATTATTATCTTAGAAATCACTACTAAATGATCATAAAACGAAGGCTGAGTTGAATATAAATTAGGAGGTTGATTGTCTGATTGTGTAACGGCCAAAGCACTTGGAGTAATTTCGATAACACCAAAATTACCTATATTAAAAATAAGACCGATAATTAAGCAATAGCGATATGAAATATAAATAGTATTCATTTATTGTACGTAGATACCACTTTAATCTATTATATATATAATCGATTTTTAAAATAATTTCTCTCTGATTTAGCCAGCATACACCATACTAATGTTAGTTGGATTACATGGCTTACTATTATAGTATACAAATGAAAACGATATTTAATTCAGGTTATGCTTGATTAACGAGATCGATATACGTTTTTATCCAATCTATTATATCATTGATTTTTTAAACAATTTCTCTTCGATTTCGCCGGTAAGCATCTTACCAGCAACAGTTAAATTATATAATTTACTATTATAGCATACAAATGGAAACGATGTTAAATTCAGGCCATATTTAATTGACGATATTAACGTATGTCCAATCTATTATGAATGTTATTCTAGCTCATAAAATGCTTGCATATATACTACTGAATTCTTTACTATTTTTTAAACATATACAGTATATTATCCATCGGTCATTTTCGATCGATCAATAAATTTATATATTAGCCTAAGGATTGGTGGTAATTTAAAAAAATGATGTTGATATTTTGTTGTGGATTTAGGTTACATTTGTTCTTGCTCGCCCTATTATCTTATTGCATGATCCTCTGCATTCATTCTTGTCGGTTACTATTCGGTAAGAGTTTGATTGCTTATCGGATAAGCATAGGTATATAAGAGGTTGAAAGAATCCATAATGGGAGATATTCACGTGGAAACATAGTTCCTAGTCTCGCCCCAGTTATCTGAGAGTCTAGAAGTATTTACAAGCTACGATCGAACATATATTTAATGCTTGTAGTCGTTAAGCCTTCCATTTACTTAAATAGTTGTTATGCTTAGTAAAATGAATGCAATTTTATACAATAATTGTAACTTTTATACTGTCAATAACCCAAATTGAGTTAATACTTTAGTGCTATATGCTATTGATAAATAAAATTTCTTGATAGACAGGTGAATTGGATATAGTTACACCTAAATTGCGACAATAAAATCATTAAAACTTAAATAAGGATGAAAAACGAAAGAGACTCAAATTCTTTCGCCGTTACAAGTAGGTTAGATTCATTACACATTAGTGTCAAAAGTTCATAATTGCTATAGCGCAGTAACTTCATGCCAAACTTATCGCATTCAAAATGAGCCTGAAAAGCTCACTCATTTGGTAGTCGTTATTTTAACCTTGTGGAACGAATGAGCAAGTACGATATTGTTTATTATTTATCTTTATGACTGGTATCAAGATGGAAATAGCACATAGGATGTTGTCTAATTTAGAATTCTCTGATTTGCAAAACGCTTCAGAATAAGTCTTATCAATAAGGTATTAATTTTTACTGTTACTAGCAGATAGACATTTCTATAAAAGCTCAAGCTCTAGCGCTTATATTCGAAGTTATTTCGAATGCACAAAACAAAGACTTGATAGGACATGGAGTAATTGTTCAAAACCGTAGCTTATGCTATATAAAATGGATAATAAATATCACCGACTTTCTATAATTCGTTTCAGCTTCAGATTTGACTTAAAATCAAATGTCTTCTAACTCACTTTCTTACCTATCGTATTTGCAGTGGCAATGGTAGAATCACTCATCGTTGTGCCAATAACACCAATAATAGGTCCATAAGTTCTGACTGTTTCTTCGTTAGCCTCATCATATTTAATTTTTTCACAGAAAAAACCGTCATACTTGCCTTCCTTAAATGGTAAGTATTGCATTAATAATGCCATAATCTCTTTAGATACACGCAAACTATTATGACATGTATCTCGTATATCATAGCCTAGTTTCACATCAGGTAAAAGATTAGATTGCTCGTTGATATCGTTAATAGCAAATATCATGGCCATCATAAGATGGATTCCATAAGTATCGAGTTCAGAGCATTTATGCTTGCCATCTTCGTAATTATAATGAGCTGGTAGAAGGCCAGCTATTATTGCATCACCATTAGTACTTATCATGACAGCGTTTTGAGTTTGTTGTTGTTCTAAGACGCTAAATAATGTCTTTTGAGCATTGCAAATACTATGTGATAATATGGATGCAAAGAGTATCGCGTAAATATAGCAATTTTTTTGAGCTGTGGCTACCATAATGACTCTATTTCTTGCGATTACTAATTTACGGTAAAATTACTTTTCAGTGATGAATAAGTCTGACACGAAAAATGACCAATTGACTTTATCGTGATAATTGCGTCGATCAGTATTACAAACAGTTTAACTTCTTCGCTTTCTAAAAATCTTCCACGCACCTATTTGTTTTAATTCTGTTTGCTACGATGCAGGTATAGTGTGCTACGAACATCAAATTCTCAGTCTAGAGATAAACTCTATAATTGTAATTATTGAGGGAATGCTTGAGACACTAATACGAAATAATTGATTTTAAGCCGCAGGGAATAATCCAACAACCAAAAATTGAGACAATCAGTTTGCATTCCGTGCAGAAAACATATGTTCTATAGTTATTACTAGCCTTTAACAGTAGAGTAATAAAATCTACTAATATGATTAACATTAGACTGAAAGCACTGACATAGCTGGATCAATAACACTTTGGCATGCATATTCACATTTACTGGATTATCATTTCATTTAAATAGGATAACTTGCTACCTGATTCTCCTCTTTGATTTATTATATGATCGAGCGTAAACTCAGGCTTAAAATTTTTACTGTATATACCGTAGATAGCATTCAAATTAATGACAGGCTCGCTAGATAAATAGATTTATTAAAAATTTGCTCTAAACAAATCTATCTTTAGTCAAATCAAAAACGGTCTTTAAAAAGTTAATAGAGAAACATTATACGGTATCTAAAGTCAAAAATGATTTAGCAAGGTGAATTATAATACTAAAAGACCGATTGTACTACATACTCTACAATATTAGCACTATATCTATAAAAACTTACTAACATCACTTATTAACTCTAACACATACCGGGCTTTATAATTATTTGAAATATGCGAATATTCAATCTATGTATTAAACTCTATTTGAAGTTAATGTGGAAGTTCTTGGCTATTTCTTTATCTTAAAAGCAGCCGGCTGTGTAATAACCCTGATATACATTTCGCACTCTATCCATTAAGTAGATTTAAGCCTGAAATTAGATAGTTTCTTTCCTAATGTAATCCCAAACAGCGAGGATAACAACATCTCTTGTATCCAGAATGATCGGAAATTATAACTAGCTGATAAGTACACTAGAATGCAAGAATCTAAAGGATATTGTTTAACTAAAGCGATATTACTTAATGTACTAGGTAGTATTCTAAAGTTTTTCCTTTATTGAAAAACGCATAATAATCGTGAAAATTAGTATAAGGATTCAATATAGGAAGATGTTCTTGGATCATATTTATAGATAGCTTCGGATAAAACTTAATTCATACAATATAAATGAAAACATAATTAATACTGATAGGAGAGCCTTGCAAATGAGAGATTACTGTATTATCATGCCATTAAATGAAGACATATTACTACCTGATACTCCTATTTGATCTATTATACGATAGTATTTAAATTAATCGCAAGTTCGCTAGATAAATATGTTATTTTTATAATTAATCTATACGTCCAAAATAAGTGGAAGTTATTACTATTTGATAAGCGCACTGAAATATAGGCCTCTACAAGACATTGTTTACCCGAAGCTATACTATTTAATGTACTCGGAAGCGTTCTAATGTTTTTCCTTTATTGATGAACGCATAGCAATCGTGGAAACTAATTGAGATTTTAGTATAAAAAACTATTCTTGGATCATATTTACAGGTAACTTCAGATACGACTTAATTTATGTCAATAAAATTGAAAGCACAATTAACATTAATAGAAGAGCCTAACAAATGCAAAAGTAAAACATCAACATTCTAAATTGTCAGGTATGCTACATTCTTTTATTACGTTTGTATTGAATAGAATACAACGATATATTACCATAGGAATCATAATTTATATTTTTCATAGCCAACTAAAGCTACCCACGGAAAATAATAGCTTGTGCAGTTGATAGGCTTCAAATATGAATTAAAATTCATTGAATTTCAGTAAGAAGTTACGATAGATTAACAGGATATGGATTGTCGTTTTCAACTTTCACGATCTGTATTATTGATATTGACACTTTAGCTTGATTATTAAATAGCTAAACCTCTTTACTCGTATTTATAATGGTATCATGACTGCTACTAAAGTGTTGTTGACGAAAAGGTTATTCAATTTCAATAATAGAATATGATAAATTAACAGGATGTTGATTTGTCTCAATTTCACTTCTGCGACAAGGTAACGTACAGTAAAAGCCTATAAGTAGCTACTAACTTAAACGCCCTTTTACTTAACGTTAAACAAACACAGCAAAAGACTGTAAAGATGAAACTTTTATTAGCAAAGATACATCTACAACTTTTGACCACCACTGAACTCAAATGTTCCCGTTTATATAGGAACCGTCTAATTCGTAAACAACAACAGTATTATCGTTATACCTTACTAGGAGAAACATCTTGAACTGAGATGTTCCTTACATAGCTTTCCTATCAGTAAATATTTTGAATCTCTTACTCATACTTAATCTTAATCTAAGCTCGTAGGTTGTCTAATTCAACTATCATCAACTAGAACTTGAATCATCTTACTGCTATCTGTTACACAATAACAATCAATATCAAGTATGTAATGAACTGTTACAAACAACATCCACGTTAAGGCATTACGTATCTTACCTAGCACTACAAATATGGATATTCTCCATAATAGCTACTACAGTACTTATTAAACTGTCCTAATGACAAGGCAACACCGTAATATGATTGTCATTTTTAACATTTATAACCTGTATCGATGATGCTGGCATTGTAACTTGATGATCTGATTGATTATTGAATGATAAAACCTCTTTACTTTCGTTGAAGGTCTTATCGACTTGCAAATAAGACACATTCGTTATGCCATCATGGCTGCTATTGAATTGTTGTTGACGAAGGGGAACCTCGCTGTTATAGCTAGAGAAACTAGCGTGATGAGATGCTGGACTCGATTTTGCTATAACCCGTGAATCAGTTTGAAAACTAAATTCTTGAATGGAACGGAGTACAGCTTCCTTAGTATTTAAATCAGGTCTAAACAGAATTGTATAAATTTTAGGAACAAACAGTAATAGTAAAGTCGATAGCCCAAACGATATCACTGCTATAGACGAAAATGCAGCTTTTACTAATCCTACTGTACCATAAAAGCCTGGTATAGCTAGAGAAACGATTGCTAAAACAATAAATGAACATATAAATATATAGCGAGCTTCATTAAAGTTATCGGGTAATTTTCGTGTCTTCCATGCTAATATGGTGCATATACAAATTAAAATTAATGTATAACCAATAATAATACCTAATCCGATATTTAAATCAGTTGTACAATGCACATGGACTTGATTCTCGTATCGGTAATCATAGGTAGCATGTGGTGGATCGATAATAGCAAAGATTAACCAAATAATCATTGGTATAGCGGTAAGCGAAAATACAAATAGTATCTGAATAAAAGATTTATACCATAGACCGCAACTTCGGCCATTTAGTCGTCTAATATTTGAACTAGCCCTAAATACATCTGCAATATGTTTAGTTTTAGTTAGTAAGCATGCACTCCATAACGGAGAAGCGATGCTACTTAAGAATCCTCGAAACCAGCACAAGCTTGTAGTAATCGTAAATAGATGAGACGCGCCTTGAATAAACAATAAAGTAACGGCGAATAGCTGTAGATAAGACATTGCCTTATTCGATGCCTTAACGATAGGCGTATTATTATATTTGATATAAACACCGACAATAAATACAAGTAATAACATACTTAGCAGACAAAATGCTAAAATGACGAGACATGCAGGACGACGCCAATCGACGATTGTGGGAGGAATTGGCAGACAATCTGAACGATTTTCATTAGCTATAAATCCAGATGAACATTTAAAGCATTGAGACGTAGTGCCGTTAGAAACTAAACCAGGGCCACATTTCAAACAGACGTAAAAACAAGTTTGTCCATCTAAGCTATGTTTACGCTCGCCAGTCGCACACGATGTTTCGTAGACTTCTTGAGGTATGGACGTTGTTTCGCCATTACGCCAACGAATATCGTTATCAGCCATTTGTATTTCATCCTGATGAGGATCCCAAGTAGCAACTGTAACAAATTGTAAACATCCACGATTATACTGCAGATTCCGAATATCGATTCGATGTAATACTTCATTTCCAGTAAATTTGATGGTATTGCCAGCAGCGTTACGAAAATGAACTTGTTTAAGATTATATTTGTAAAGTGAATGATTATATGTTTCAATCGAATTACATTGCTCGCTAGTACAATTTAGTGTACGATGTAATGCATGAGCCATTGCATAGATTGCATCTGCTAGATATAATTTATCTTCATTAAAGTTAATTTGATAAGCTTTGCAAGATGAATTATTTTCATCTATTTCCGTATAGTATTCCAAGGTTTCGATACATTCTGGCTGAGCAGGTGTGCAATTATATAATTTTAGCCATAGATCGTCAAAATGCGGATTATGTAATTGGCCAGTCACATATTTTCGATAGTACTGATTGTATATGGTTAGATTAAACTCTTCTGTCGATATTGTTAGTAAACCGCCGATAACTTCTTTCTTAATCTTATAAAGATGGGGCGAATAAATCCAATCACCAGCGCCAATCCAAGTCCTATCCGTTAAGTTTTGTTTTTCTGCTTCTTTCATAAACTTAAGTCCTTGTATCAAAGGACTAAGTAAGACAATGACTTTGATGTTATTACTTAATTTTAATTTCTGTACCGTTTCCACAGTTAATTGATCGATTCGAGTACCGCTAATTGTAAATTCTTGAGCGATACATACACCAGATTCTTGTAATTTTGAGCGTAATATCTCCATATTGTAACCTATTCCAGATGGTTCGATCGCTATCAAGCATATTCGAGTCATTTTATAATAGTTTATTAACGAGGCAATTGCAGACAGATGAGATTGAAATGAGGGTTGTGTCGAAAATAAGTTAGATAATTTCTCTTCTGATATAGAGGAGGCTATAGCGATAGGTGTAATCTCAATAACGTGGAAATTTTCTAGAAATAGTAATACAGATATTCATTATAACATTACGATATTTTACATTTTTGTTTGTACGATACCGTACTTGTTACTTTTACTAAAAGTGTAATATAGTCAATCTTAGTACGATAGCAATTTAAGTACCTTCCATATTGATGCTGGAAAGCTATTTTAATTGTAAAGTTGTTTAATCTATACCATTTTATTTACAAGTAATGCAAGATAGTGCTATCTTATGGAAAATCAGATATGAAAATAATAGGAAGAGCTTATGCTAAATATTTCTGATTTCGATACCGATAATTTAATATTTAAATTTACGTAACGGCATTTAAATATTTTCATTGAAAATTTTTAATATCTTCAATAACCATCGACGGAATTAGTCGCTAATGTATCGGCTCTTTAAAGGAAACATCAGTACGATAATTAAAACGGTATTTACATATTTACATCTGATTATACGGATACCGTTAAAATTATTTTTGTAGTTTTTCGATCGATACTCTAGAGCATGAAGCAAATATTTATCTCTTAGCATATCTATTTAAAAGCTGATTATACAGATACTGTTAAAAATTATTTTGTTGACTTTTGTTTAATGCTTTAGAGCTTGAAACAAAAGTTTATCTGGTTATCATATTCATTTAATAGCGCTTTGTTTGCTAAGCAATTAATTCATAAAGTAAACTAAGATATTTGTGTATAACCATAGGTGAACTGGGTATGTTTATGACGCAACTGTAAGAATAGCAATTTCTACATTCCGTAACTACTTCAAGGCTGTCCGTATAAGCTGTTTGAAATACACACTCACAATAAAATGCATCAATAGCTATATCATAAAGTGATCAATTTATCGCAATTCGGTCAGCCTTCAATTTATATAATTATAAGTTGAATTTCATATGTAGCTACCATGATCGCACAAATGATACTAAATCCCTTAACCCAATCTATCAACCCATATGCTGTACATATGGTTTGTAAACAACAATATGCTGCACTTGTATAACTGTTCGTAGCATCTTTTACATGTCATTTAATAAATTTGTAAGATATAGTGTTAAAGCGATTTTAAAGCCTAGAAAACTGAAAAGCTTTTACATTATCTTACAATTCTATTAAAATATCCGCCATTGTAGATCAGGTTGTTTTAGTAGCTTTACAAATATGTCTTACTATAATAATATTATCTATGCTTACGTTAAGTATCATAATTACTTAGTCAAATGCTGATCAGTGATCACGGACATTCTGTGAGAGAACATCAACTTTCTTTCTGATTTTTATTGACAATAACCTATTTACAATATTAAGTAAATGGTTTTATTGTGCTTTGATTAATTTTCGTGTGTAGTACGAAAAGTTGACAGAGTTACAATAAGTTTTGTCCATGGATTAAACGAAAACGGAATTTTTGCTTATGGATAGAAGATTCCTATGACAATCAAGCAAACTACTATAGTTACAGCTATCGGGAGAATTCTAATTTGTAAGACCAATTCGCAAGTTTACGTACTTTGACAAAAAGAGTAAAATTTAAAAAAATGAATCGATAGCTAGAATCCGATTTTGATAAAGTTTTATTATTATACATAAAAACGGATATACATTCCATCAATTTATCCTTTGAGTCTCGACTTTCCACCTATACACTATAAATATTGTTTTTTACTTACCTAAAAAACCAGCTGTAGCTTTGACATAGCTACTCGTTGTTGGACCAATCATTCCCAGAAAGGGTGAATAATGCGATTTAGATATTTCCGACTTAGGCAATTTCTCATCATTGCAAGAATATTGATTGCATATGCCTTCTTTAAAGGGTAATAAACGGAATAACAATTCCATTGCTCCCCTGGAAGTGCGTAAGCTACTATAACATGTATCACGAATCTCATAGCCTAGAGTAATATCTGGTAAGAGTTGAGAATTTTGATTGATACTTGTTATAGCTAATATCATGGCAGCTACTAAATGAATGCCTTGTTCGTTAAAGTCCTGACATTTTCGAAGATGTTGATCGTAAGCATAATGAGCTGGTAAGAGACCAGCAATGATAGCATCGCCGGATTTGCTTAAGCTAAGAGCATTTGCAACTGGTTGCTCAGTAAATACTTGGCTTACTAATATCTGAGCATCGATTGTAACGTCAAATATAAACAGTAAGATATAAAATAGTAAAAACTGGGCTTTGAATTTTCTAACCATACACCTGATCTGCATCTTTGCAAGAGTGAAATTATTCCATATAGATTGCAGTAGTAAAGTTCAGTAATTTAAACCAAACAACTTGCTAAAATATGTCAGTCATGAAGATGTCTGTCGAATCATGATCAACTTTTTTGCAATTGGATGACTTGTATACCAAAATATTAAGTTTAACCCGATCTTGATGAAGTATAATGCTCACGATGCGATAATACTGCTACTCTGGCTATCTATAAATTAAATTTATAGTTAAGCAATAAGTGTATTAGTAAATATATGTAATGAGAATTGCTAGTCAATATGACGTCATGCTTACGTAAAGAATAGGCTAAACATTTCTGCCAATAAATCACTTATCGAGAAATTTCAATATGATCGATCATCAAATCGATATCAATATGAAACACTCGTTATAATTATTGGCCTAGAAGAGAACTGTACCCTTATGGATTTCAAGTTGCAAGCGATTTTAAAAATATTTCCTGCTCGATTCTGATAGCAATGACTAAATATACGTGTAAGTAGATTAAACTAAGAAGATTAGCAATTAGTTTTGCGGTGTAGTCATCGTATATTGACTTTTATGCATTGATTGCAATAGTCAGTATAAACAGTATGACCTAAAATACCAAAGATTGGCCCTTACATTTTCTACTTGTATACTCAATTTTCATCTTTCCAAGAGCGAGTTATTCCATAAAAGAGTTTAGTAATTGAAGCCAAACTATTTGCTGCACATAGCTGAATAAAATATAATGAGGATAGGTATAAATCTTCATCCGATTTCGTTCCGTTAGATGGCCTCTATTAGAGACAGTCCATTTAGCAATGTGATAACAGATAAATGTGTGAACTACTGAATATATATAATTACAAGCAGTTTTCAACCGCTCCTTATATTGTGATTGGTAGAAAAAGGATTCTATTATTATTGCCACTCCGTATGATGTACGTTATTCACATTCGTTATCACCTTCAAAAACTGGTTTAAATAATATAATTAATAATCATGAAGCTTACTCTATCTTTTCATATAGTTTGATCATAACAATCATCAGCTGGTAGAAGGCTAGATTTAATTTGTTGCCAGCTCGGCCAAATAACGGCTACATTTTCCTTTTAACCCAAATTTTAGCCATAGATGCTGTTTACTGAAATGATTTTGCTCAATGCGAATACGATGCGATAATAGTAATATGAAAGCACTGTAACTAGCATAGCTTAAAAGTAGCAATGCAATCGAAATGTTGTTACCATTTGCATTTCTCTAGATGGTAACTTTAATCTGCAATAAGTCTCTGCAGTGCCAATTTCACTAGCAATATTAAACTATTTTTAGTGGAGGTCGTAACTAAGTAGGATAACATATCACCTTTTCGTATTTAATGTATCCTGTAACAGAACTACGAAGAATTAAATATATCCGTATTGAAGATTTTATCGTCTTTATTATATAGCATTCCAGCTTGTCCTTGACGTAATATATAAATTTAATCTTATCATCATATTATATGCGCGCACATACAGATCGGACTATGTAAAGTATTACCCATAGAATTTAGAAATCTATAGCAAGTTTACAAGCATTTGAAAGTTTAAATATCCATCACGACCTCAATCGATTATACTATCAAAGAAAACTTCCCTTTATTAATTAACATATAGCGACTGCAGACGTTAACATTTAAGAATACTATAGAAAATTTAATTGAAGTTTGGTTAGATTCAATAAACGCAATTTGCGCTTACTAAAGAGCAAAAAGCATTAGCCTCAGAAAATTTAAACATATTACTTATCGCATGGACTGTTTTGCAACCCATAATGATAACCAAAGAAATCAAAGTCTAGGTTTTTTAATTATTACTAACTAATACTTTAAAGTTTTATAGAAAATGAACTGATTGTATATGAAAACTCGAATATTATGGAAACGTATGTATGTCTACGGCGACTACCAAAATAGTTTCTGGAAGTAATATTGCCTAAGGTATTTTTTTGGTGGCTGAGCGACAAAATTTTGGGCTATTATTGAAGATGTCCAATTATCCGATATTCATAATATTTCAGCTTCTGTTAAAAACTTGATCAACTCTTAATAAATTCCGGAAATTCCATTAGTTAGAAATATTTAAGCAACCGACGATAAATTTTCACCTTCAACGTTCACAACTTGTATTAATCTTGCTGCTGGAGCTTGATGATTTGGTTGATCACTGGATACTAAAATCTCTTTGGTTTCGTTAATACTACGATTAGGGTGTAAGTGTGATGTATTAGTAGCCGCGTCGTGGCTAACACTTAATTGCTGATGACGAAGAGGAACTTCACTATTAACGCTAGAAAAACTAGTACGACGTGATGTTTGATTCGATTTGGATATTATGCGTGTATCTGCATTAAAGCTAAATTCTTGAATGGAACGAAGTATAGCTTCCCTAGTATTTAAATCAGGTCTAAATAGAATTGTGTAGACTTTAGGAACAAATAGTAGCAATAATGTCGCTAGTCCAAAAGTAATTACCGCTATCGATGCAAACGCCGATTGCACTAATCCCACTGTACTATAATAACCTGGTACTGATAGAGCGACAATCACTAAAATACTAAATGAACAAATAAATACGTAGCGAGCTTCATTAAAGTTATCAGGTAATTTTCTTGTCTTCCATGCTAATATAGTGCAAATGGTGGCTAAGATTAGGGTATAGCCAATTACAATGCCCAATCCAAGGTGTAATCGAGTTGTACAACGCACATAGACTTGATTTTCATATCGATAATCGTAGATAGCTTGTGGTGGATCAATAATACCAAAGATCAACCAAACAATCATGGCGATAGCCGTGATTGAAAATACAAATAGTATTTGAATAAGTGATTTATACCATTGACCTTTGGATCGATTTCTTACTCGTCTAATATTGGAACTAGCACTGAATACATCCGCAACATGTTTAGTTTTAGCGAGTAAGCACGCATTACATAAGGGGAAAGCAGTGCCTGTCATGGTATATTGAAGCCAGCATAAACTTGTTGAAACCTCAAATTGATAGGATGCAGCTAGGAAAAATAATAAAATGACACTGAAAAGTTGTAGATAAGACATCACCTTGTTTGATGCTTTAACGATGGGTGTATTCTCATATCTGATATAAACAATAAGAATAAATACGAGCAATAACAACGATAAGAGAATAAAACTTAAAATTACGATACTGACGGGATCACGCCAATTTAACACCGTGGTAGCAATTGGCTCACAATCTGAACGATTTTGGTTGGCCATAAATCCCTGTGAACATTTAAAACATTGAGATGTAGAACCATTAGAAACTAAGCCAGGGCCACACTTTAAGCAGACATAATAACAAGATTGCCGATCTAAGCTATGCTTTCGTTCGCCTACAGCACATGATGTTTCATAAACTTCTTGTGGTATAGTTATACTCTGGCCATTGCGCCAGCGAAAGTCGTAATCCATTATTTCAGTTTCCTCTAAGTTTGGATTCCACATAGCCACTTTGACGTAATGAAGACAACCATCATCATATTGTAAATTTTCCAAGATAATTCGATGCAATACTTCATTATGGGTAAATTTTACTTGTTGGTCTGCTAAATTAGTGAAACGAATATGCTTGAAATTTTCTTTATAAAGTGTATGATTGTATGTTTCGATTAGATTGCAACTTTCTTCCGTGCAATTTAATGTGCGATGGAGTGCATGAGCCATTGCGTAAACTGCATCTAATACATAAAGTGCATTTTGATAAAAGTCACGTTGATAAACGGTGCAAGTTGAATTGATACCACCCGTTTCCGCGTAGTGACCCAAATGGCCAGAGCATTCTTCCTGACTTGGTATACAACCATATAATTTTTCCCATAGAGCATCTAAGTGTGGATTAGGCATTTTACCACTTATGTAACTTTCAAAGTAATGATCATAGACACCTACTTGAGACGATTCTGTCGATACTGCTAGTAAACCACCAATCACTTCCTTGTTGATCTGGTAAAGATCGAGCGAATGAACCCACTCGCCAGAGCCAATCCAAGTTCTCCCAGTTAAATTTTGTTTCTCAGCTTCTCTCATAAAAGCAATTCCTTGTACTGCAGGACTAAGCAGGACAATAACTTGAATATTGTCATTGATTTTGAGTTTTTGCACTGTATTAACTATTTGTAGATCAATATGGTCACCACTGATTGTAAATTCTTGAGCAATACATACACCAGAATTTTGTAAATTTGTCCTTAATACCTCCGTTTTATAGTTTATTTCCTGTGGTTCAATAGCTATCAAGCATATTCGAGTCATTGAAAAGTATTTAATGATATAAGAAATGAATAAAAGATGGTGTTGAAATGCAGGTTGGGTTGAATATAAGTTGAATAAGAGATCTTCTGCTTCTGAGAATGCTATTGCGCTTGGACTAACATCAATAACGTCAAAATTGCCTAGAAATATATAAAATTATCTTATTATAATAGTCTTCGCTAAAGGTGCCGTTCTGATACAGCGATAATTTTCAATAATCTTTCTACCTACCATTATACCGATACTGTTAGTAATTTGAATTAAAAATTAATTAAACATAATGAATCCATTATTTATAAATTTCAGAACTTCATTTGGGGCCTGTTACGGTACTACGTTGCCTAAATTATAGAATTTAAGAAAGCATTGTTGCTCACAGTATTTTAGTGATATAGTATAAAGCTATTTTGCAGATTATAGTACAGCGTGTCTACTGATTGTGAGCCTTTTAGAAGGGGTAGTTCTTAGGCGTTATAGTAGCAGTACTTAATTCATATTAGATCTTTCAACAGATTAGGGTAGTAATTTGTAGAAGCAACTCAAAGTAAGTGATTTACGTTAGACTAGTAAAATTGTCAGGAAGTAGTCCGTGACAGGCCACTTTAAAATTTCCAGCTGAAATGATAAGTGAGTTCATATTGGCAATTACTGAGTTTGATACGTATATGGAAAGAATAGGTTTGTAGTTTAAATTATATTCATTAGCAATCAAAATTTCAGTTGATCTACTGCATGTTAATGCAGAAAGACAAAGTTAGAATTATGGCTCCATTCTTGGTCTTGATAGTTTTAAAACAGATGCTTACTATTTTAAAATATCTATTTTCAGGGTGCTATCCGTTGCACAATTAGTTCAGAATGAAAATGAAAGAGTCTTACGGCATCAATTTAGATTCTGTATACAGTGTATTTAAATGGAGTTATACTTGGAATGTAAAGTAGACTCTCACAACAGCTTCCAAACTGTTCTAAATTCCTGAAATTAAGTACCGTAGATCTTTACCGATATACTGTAAAGCTCTAATACTAGATGATAGTTAGGATATAAAACGTGTACAAACGCAATAGCCTTGAGCTATTCTCCCTTTTATTTTACTTGTGAAAAACATAGTACGGTAATGTGATAAATTTGTAAAATTATTATTACATCATGAAATTCATTTCAATAGATTTAAAACTGTATCTAGCTATCAGTGCTATCCAGAATTAGTCATAAACTGTAATAATGTCGGTGTTGTTACACAGATTGTAAATACCATGGCCGGTAGTGTTGACTATTTTTAAAGTTAGCTACAACAAAGTACAACTATGTTGAAGTGGTACAAAAGGTGCACAAATTTTCAGTTGCGTAGAAAACTGTAATAGCCTTTAAAAATCAATCTTCTACTAGGTCAAGTATGCTATAATTGATATAATTCAATAATTCTTACTGTATTATGGTCGTTAAATTGTAAATATGCTACAAATAAGCTGGAAATAGCTAAATTATCATGGTAATTGTTCTTAAAATTGCAATTTGCAACTATAGAAATTTTTTCAATAAGAACTTATAAAAAACTCTGTTTTACTCTCAATCATTCGCATTTATCAATTGTGAAGAAATTTACGAGCCAGTTTATTACATAAGCTATAATCCATATGCTATCCAATATGGTTAGAAGATATTCATACTGTATTATTACTTATGATAGCTTTTGTATGCTATTTATAGCGTATAATATTACTGGTATATGGCAGTTACGGTACTACTTATTCATCTCAGCTTGTCTAAGACTTTGGAGATAGAAAAGTTTTGAATACAACGTATCTCTCAATCGCATTCAGTATCCATAACGATGGATGGTATTGCTATAGTTGATTCATAAATCTTAAGTATTTTGGTCTAGAAATAGCATTTAACCTAAAGTATCTTGATAAGTCAATTAAAGCCTGACCTCTGGTATAGATTTGCATTGGAGAATATCAACCTTCTTTTACAGTACTTGACCTTTTCTATTTTACCGTAAGCTATTAACACTATCAAGCAAAATGATGTCATTCTAATTTGAGTTGAAAGTTGTATTAGTGAAGATATTAAGAATTAAAATTAAAATAAATCTTTACGTAGAATTATGTGAATACAGAACTGCAGCTGTTGTAAATAGAAAAATGGCAAATCAATAGGATACTTATGGGCAGATTTATGACGAGAGTTTATGATTAAGAAATGTTAGCGCCCTAGTTCTTGCAATGGGTCTTGCAAACGATAAATAATTATAAAGCAAGCAATTCATATCTGATTCTTTGCATAATTTAGAAACGTATACAATCATAAACAGGTAAATGCATTTTTTAAAAGTAAATCGATGATGTCCAGTAATTTCATACTAAATTGTTGTAAATGGCAGTAGATTATCTAACATTAATGCAATCTATTGCCTCGTGCTTAAGATTTATACTCAAGAGAAATCTTGGGCGATAAATGTTGTCGTCAAAGTCGAGCATTTGCGATATATTATACATGAGGAAATTAATGATTTTAGATAATTTATTTGTCCATACATTACTTATACCAACTATAAACTGGCCGATAAAGGGTCACAATAAGTTACTAGTGTAACTTTACTAGAAATAATATTTTATGTAAATTTTTTTCTGTAACCTTGTCATAAATTCCAATCAAATCTAATTGCTTAGTCTAATCCTCTACTTTAGCCAATCTTGCATTAAGTAGGTATTATCAATATCAGTTAAATTTGAACGAAATAATTATTTTCCTTGCTGGATTATTTTTAGAGAATTGAGTAAATTTCGTCATATAGATCGTGTATGGAACTTACAGTAAGCACTATCAGTCTTTTACAACTAAGGAGCTTGAGCTGACTAAAGCAAGTATTAAAATGAAGTCATGAAACAGGTCATGAAAATAGCATCCCATATTAAAGCCTACAACTGTAGATCTTTTCTGTTAATCTCTAGAACTTAAATATTTACATTTACCTAACATGCTTGCGGTAGCTTTTGCAGCATTAGTCATTGTTGGACCAATAACTCCGAGAAAAGGTGAATAAAATGATTCAGTCATTCCAAAGTCATGTAATGCAATATTGTAACAGTAATATCCATCGTATGTGCCCTCTGCAAAGGGCAATAAATGCAGTAACAACTCCATTGTTTGTCTAGAAGTTTGCAAGCTATTGTAACAAGTATCACGTATATCATAACCCAATGTAATCTCTGGTAAAAGTTTGGGATCGTTATTGACATTGATAATAGCGAACACCATAGCTGTTACTAAATGGAGGCCATATTCATCAATGTCTTTGCATTCTCGACTATTTGTATCATAACTATTATGAGCTGGAAAGAGACCAGCAATGACAGCATCACCAGATTCGCTCAAGCTGAGAGCATTAACAGTTGGTTTTTGCGTATATACGTCGAGTAATGATTTCTGGCAATTAGTTGGAACGGATAATAAGAACATCACGGTACAAATTAGTAAAAACTGGCTCTTTAATTTTCCAATTTCACACTTCATCTTTCCAAGGATGAAATTGTTTAATAATAGATGGCAGTAATAAAATGGCTAACTTTAGTCTCGAAAAAATTTCGATACCGCTGTATGATGAAGGCAATTATTTAAAATTTAGGTGAAATTATTCAGTTAAGATGGCTTCTGTACGGCAAAGTGGAGATTAGCATGATCTTACTTTGACAAGAGGGTGGCTCTTGCAGTTTTTAAAACCAATAAGCAACTTAGAAATGACTTGCGTAGGTATGATTGTAATAAATTTTTCAGCTTATGTTAGTGCAATTAGGTAATTTAAACTTCCTTCCATTAGCATCAGTCTGACGTCATATATCATCTATCACTTGCTTTAACGTCAATAGCAACTTTACAGTATTATTTACCGCTACTTTAGGCAACCATATGTCTGATTGCCTAGTGATCAATAATTAATATTCTTCAACCTAGAGTAAGGAGAAATTTATTAGACTAGTTGAAGCTATTGTCGACATTAATTAGAATAGCTCTAAGAGTAATTTTCTTTTATTTTTTTAATTTTAAAAATTTCTAAAGGATTAAACTTATTTTAAAGATATCCAAGAATAGAGATTTGCTTTATACACCTGCACAATATTCTTTGTAAATGAAAATATTAATTTATCATACCAACCATGTCAAATCCAGGCAGCGATTTAAAGATTCTGTAAGTTAAGACTAGCAGTACTGCATAGTAATTTAAAGTATTATTATTAAACGCAAGCGTCGATATTGACATTTTATTTTCAGTGGTGTGAAACACACTGCAAGAATTTAAGATCCAGCCTGACTAATACATCTTTCATATTAAATTTAACTTCAATTACAGAATGATATAATTTAATTGATTTATTCAATACTAAATCAGTCCTGTGGTCTAGGTAGCCATTGAACCAGATTAGATTGAATAAAGGCATACTAGTTATAGAGATTATATTTGCAAGTCAATCAGGCAAGCATTTATACTATGCTCTAGTTGTCAGTCTAAATTAATGGATATCAATATTAAATAGATTAGTATATTAACTGTATTCATAATTTCCTTTCAAATGGCTTCTGACACTAGGAATAATGATTTAATTAAGCAGATATCTAGATTGTTGCCTAACGGCCAATTTATGCGTATATAGATTGGTATATTGACTGTATTAATTCTTTTCTTCCAAATGACTTCTGACATTAGGATTTGTAAACTAATTAAGCTGATATTGACATTGTTACCTAACGGCCAATTTACTCGTATATAGATTGGTATATTGACTGCATTAATTCTTTTCTTCTAAACGATTTCTGATACTAGGAATAATAAGCTAATTAAGTTGATATCTACACTGTTGCCTAATGATCAATTCAAGCATATATTTATCAACTACTCTATTAAATAGATATAATTATTATTAAGCGAATAAAATTTAATTCTGTTAATAACCATTTGTTATGAAAAATTACGCTAATTGTTAGTATTCAAAGAAAGACAAATTATAAAGCTTGGATATTCAATTTTAAAACTATCATGTCTCCCAACACTGAATAACAGTAATCATAAGAAAGCGATGACGCAGAATTTATTTTATTTTAATACATTTGATGCAATATACCGCAGTGATAGTTAGTATCGAAAATAATCCGGTACCGAGATATTTCATCATAGATTATCGAATAATAGATTACATTTTAGTTCGATTTTGATAAATACTGTTTTATTTAAAATAATTAGTGGAACCTTCTAAGTAGAAACAATCAGTCACATATACTTTCGTATCTAAATCATCGATTAAGTTATTACTACTATGGTAGCTTTTATTAATTGTCACAAAGCACCTTTGGAACAAGATAACGTAATGTACGATCAATAAGTCAATTCCTTGAACCACGTATCAAAGAACGATATCTGCACTATCAAGAACACTTTTGCTCTACTAGCAGACAACACAAAGACTTAGACGCCTCATATTTCACGTTAAACACTAAGTTTAAGAATTAACTTTATTACACGATATACCGCATTTATATACTCTCCCTCAATACTTCATGAGTCATAACATAACTATTAATTTAAGTATATGTAGATATTTCTACTCTAATACAGTATATAACACTGTCACAGTAATACATCTAATGTGGACATTATGTTATAGGCTGCCTGCATAGCAGCTAAGAGTAGCTGGACTATCTTAATATCATGTGCTATCTGTAACATAAATGCGTATGAGCTATCAGAAACGTAAGCTAACGTTAACATTTATACCTAGTAGCGGGTTAATTACTACACTAATTTCTATAGTAGTTCGATTTCCATCGAATATCTTCGGTAACCTAATCAAATATTGCCACTACTAGAGCGAAGCTTGTCAAAAATTTAGAAATCTAATGTAGAGTTTAGCATGGCTAAGCTTTAGCCATAAGAGATAACTTTTGAGTTAAAACTAGCTTCTTATTACTGAGAAATTTAAGTTAATTTTGGAAATGCAGTAGATGGTTCTACCTGTGATTAAATTTGAATTCATATATCTATGCTCAAAAGCTGTTGCTGTAATTATTAGCAGCAATTGGCTATCATCATAGTAATATTCATGCATTGCTTGTGAATAGGAGAGCTAATGTGCGAATATTGCTTTATATAAAATGCGTATTACTATAATAGTTATCTTACTAATCTGATCTATATTTGCTAGAGCTCTTTACATTCCATATACAATTAGAACTGCTACTAAAGCTAATATTTGAAAGGAATTTGACTTAATTCAAGTCTATAGAAATCTCTTATTTACCAGTTTTTTAATCATCTCACCTTAGTAAGAGATCATCATTCTTTACATGTAAGGAATACAAACCTATTTTGTATTACTCAACTTGGGTTAAAAGACATAAAGTTTGTGAGAAATATCTTGCATGCATAAATGTACCGCTCCATTAACGTATCTAGTATCTGTCATGCCCTTGAAAGCCGTATTATAATGGTACCATATTAAAGAGACGTACATGATCTGATATATAGGTACAAATTTATTGATTTTTAAACTATTTCAAAATAAAAAGGTTAAGACCAAATAAATATACAAAATGCTGGCTACGATATTACAATAAATATACAGTGTATGATATTTCTTTAGAGGTATGGAATACCTACATTGATTAAAAAAATGGCTCAATATTGGCATTAATAATTGAATATCAGGCTATTTATCAACTGTAACAGTTAATATTAACTCTATAGATGCGTTTTGTCGCATAAAATAAAATTAAAATCGAGAAATTGCTGTTTTAATATGAGATAAATGTAGACTAAAGGAGTATAGGTTAGCATTTTCTTGATATCAAACAGCAACCACTTATGTACTATTTTTTACTATAGTTTTATAAAAGCTATTTGAGGTCAGTTAAGAATTCTAATAGTCTAAACTCATAAGAAGAGCCGTTCCACGCTTGATCCAATGGTCTGCAGTAACTGATCCCACCTTAATATCAACGGAGACAACAAATGAAGGTCTACCTCCGGAACCTGAACGATTTGGGTAGTAGTAGCAAGGACAAGCATACATTCCTGATAGAAACAACAAGGACAGATTATTTAGTCTTTGGCTGTGCGCTTAAATAAAATCGTTAAGTAGGGAGTAAGAACTTTAACAATGTAATAAAAATCATATAGAAGCAATGATACCTTTATTTGATTTTCTTTTGTTTTCAACTGGCTTAAAGTGAATAGCCGGAACTGGACATACTAATTCCATTGGATCTGCTTCAATTAAGCAGGAATTTTTAACGTCCCAACCAGCACCTTCCAAGTATAATCCACGTATCCATACACCATCCTACACAATATAAATTAATTTATGGTAGATTATTAAATGTTTATATCAGTCACAATTATGCTAGAAGGTATCGTGCCATAGCACCTACAATGACTTACCTTGGGTGCTTGCATTATATTAGAATCATCAACTGTAGAAACCGGGAATTCCCACGATAAAGAATCGATTGAGACCTATGAAAGATTGAATATTGGACTGATTTTAGTACATGACGTGATCATTTGCTCGCAAATTGCCTTCTTACATTATTCTGGCGTGCCGAGGTTTGTAGTACAGCAGTTAAGAAACTGGTTGGAAATGTAAAACCAGAAAGCCAAAACAAGGTTGGTGGATGAGCAGTAATTGCCCATTTACTAAATTGCTCTACTCGAATCACGAGATCTCTCGTCCAAGCAGCTAAAGGTTTCTGTGATGCATAGGTCTGTAAAACATTGTTACATTTCAGCTTTAATAACAATTTTATGACTTTTGCTAGTTTTTAAGAAGCTGCAGTACCTTATTCCATAATGGCGGAACTCTTCCATCAAATATGCATGAAAATATTTCCTCTAATGCAGCTGACATAACAACTAAACCCTTAATCCCTTTAGCCAAGTCTTGTAGAGATGTCCTTATAGTTTGTAGTAAGCTATTATAGCGTGCAACCTAATTCAGAAATGGAAATTAAAACCGTCAACGGTAATACTAGAATTTATTGATCACTATTGTATCTAGTACAAAATAGGATCTTTTAATCTACCTCTTGGACTAGTACAACATTGATTGGTGAAGGATCAGATATTAGAATAGTTTCTGCGCTTTCTCGGTCGAGGTCTTCCGGTATACGTTTCAACACATCAGCTGCTAGTTCTTGGACCTGGATATTATCAATCTCATATCAGAAATTTTATTCTTATTACGACTTATTTCATGAGATTATCGTATAAATTGCTTCAAGATATACCCTATCTTCTCGACTCTCTCCTTGGGCAACCGAAACTTGTGGCTTCAGTGACAGCAAAGTATCAAATAGCATCCTAAGGAAAGTTAATTGTAAAAATTTGGTTAAATTTAACGGAATTGAGGATAACGTGTTTACCTAAAATCATCATTTCCTATAATTGGACGTGGATTAATATCTAAAATATTACAACAATATTTTCTTTATTACCTAGTTTCGATGATTTGACTTGCAATATCAGCATTTGGATGTTGACCAAAAGCTTCTGGATGATCCACATTTGGCAATAAGTTAATATAATCCTACGTTAAGAGTTGATAAATATAAATTTGTTGATTGAAATCGAATTTTTCTTAATACTCAATATCATAAAATACATAGAATTTTAGGTTACGAACCAGATAAGATTGCAATGGTCCGTCTTTGGGAATATAGTATGTGGCCATTGTTGATAACCTGAGAAAGAAGACATTGATAGATAAGTATTAACAATTAATTGTGTACATATAATTCATGATAGCTGGTACAAAATAAGATATTTTCTATAGAGAATGATAATATCATTTACGTAGCTAAGACTAACTTATAAAATGGATTTTGAGCGGCAGCGTCGCAAAAGATGTCGTTGATATAGGTATGTAATAAACGTCTATCCCAATCGTCAGTAACATGTCCTCCATAATTAACTCCAGCAATCAAGTATTTTAATGCATCCCATGGTGTCTCATCATATTCATCCAAGTATAATGATAACAAATCGTTTGATACTTCAAAATCAGAATCATTGAATCCATAAATAACATTCCAGCCCAACATTAAGAATTTCTTCCTTTCCAGTAGAATACTATGGAAAAAGCATAAACCAAATAACAGTTTCTTGAATTTTTCCGGTTTGCGGCAATTATTAAATTGTTCATAGGTGATCGATTGATAGAGACGTTTCATATTGGCTTTTAATCCTTTAGGTGGTTCAGTAGTCATTTTAATACCCGATTGCAAAATTGATATTGGAAATTCTGGATGTGGACTGCTACTTAGCCATAAGCGAAAATCGGGATGAGGATTTTTAACCTGTAATTGCTCAACTATTTTATCTAATTGAGGCATCCAACTTAATGATAAATGACAATTGGCTAAGAATACCCAATGGCCTTCCATAATACCTTCACGAATCATTCGTGATGCTATAGGTGATTGGCCTTGACCTAATGATAGCGAATTATATCTTTTATTCATGTTATGCTTATCTGCTAATTGAAGTAATGCACCAGATGGATCGACACCAGAAGAGAGAACAAATATAAGTGGTGTTTTAGGACTTGAATCATCTAATACTGAATTCATATCGAGTACAGGTGGTTCAACAAATCGTGAGCCAAGATTGTTAATAATAAATGATCCAACAGTAAAAGCAACACGATCAGGTCGTAGTGATCTTACAATCAGCATTTTTTGCAATTCATTGCATGCGTTATCCCACTCTCCAGGTAGCAAAGCATTTTCAGGCTCGGAACTTGTAAACCAAACATGCCAATCTCTTGCATATTGCTCAAATGATGTTACTAAGCCATGGAAGTTGGTTAACTTATCTAATTCAGTAATATGATCCCATGCTGCTTCTGATAACCATTTGCATGGATTCTCCATTTGATTTTCACGATCGATTACGGTACCTCCACGTAAGAAGAAATTATACTCTTCCATATTGAGTTTACCAGCAGCTTCTAAAATTTTAGCGCACATCTGGAATGAGAAAAGCATTTTATGTCGTTCGAATAATGCCCGACAGGTATAGCGATAAACGGCATAGGTGTGATAATCATTTAACGATTGAATTCTTTCTTCTAATTTTGAACTACGTGAACTCTTATCAATGGATCCATTAAATAGTTCAATGTAGGAATCTAATGAAAATTGATACATTGGATCAATTCGGCCCATATCATTAATGACGAAGAATAGAATGGAAGCACGTTGAGCACATGGACGATAACCTTCACGAGCTGTATCAATTTTAATTTCAGTTTGTTCGCTAATTTGTAATTGCTCAGATACTTCTTGTGATGTGGTCTTAGATGTTTGCAATGTATTAACCAACTGTTCATCATCCAACAGTGAGCCTTCAGCTGTATTTAATAATTTCAATATTTCATCCTCTAATTCAACTAATTTTTTCTTACCAGCAGCAATACTCATGACCAATTTATCTTTTTGCTCTTCAAGGTCTGGTCGTTCCTTTCGCACAACAATACCAAGTAGTTGCGCTTGTAGACCTTGTTCTTTAACAGCAAAGTTGACAATAGTTGTCTTAGTGGAAATCTCCGGTGAGTAATGAGGATTACTTAATTTTGTTGTGATGTAAAATTTAAATTCTGGATTATAATCAATTTCTTTATCGGCTAAGCGAATAAAGTACTGGCCACCTTTACGTATAATAGCTTTATTTAAGATAGGCGACAATGATGGATCTAGTTTTTCCTGGACATTATGTAATAGAACCGGAGTACCAAATTGAATTGAATTCTCTAGAACTCGTATGTAATCGGTTTGCTGTAAATCGATGATACTCAACTTATTCCCTTCCATATTTTTAATCCATTTCAATGCTTGTCCTTGCGGATCAATCATTAATGGCCAACGATTGCCGCGAGCTACTATGATACCATTTTCAGTTGAGAACGAATCATTAGGTAAACCTTGTATATTCCAATCGCGTACTGTTGTTGGCTTAGCCATAAAATTAGCGAAATTTAACTCTGGATTACATGGTACATGCAATTTGTAGATTTGCGGCAGCCATATACCATTAACTAATTCTTCACGATAACCCGACAAAAACGATCCAACATAAGATAAAAATGCTGCTGCTACTAAGCAATCACCAGGCAGATAGGCAATATTAGATTGCAATTCAGTAACACTATTTTCCCATCGCAATTTTTCACCTGATAGACCAGCAACCAATCTACCAGCACGATCTAAACGTAATTCGTTTAATTCAGCAGTTTTACGTAAATCGTCCTTTTGCGCTAATTTCTCATCGTATTCACGCTTTAATTTTTCCATTTGATCGGTAATTTCTTTCAATTTACTTTTAGCTGCAGCTAAGGATCTTTCTTTTTCGTGTAATTGAGCACGGGCATGATTTAAACGTTGTTTCTTAGGCTCAACAATACGATAGATGCGTCCATATAATTCAGTAGCACGCACCCACATACATAACGATTTAGCTGCTAATGATACACGACCGATAATATCAGGTTGGAAATCCGATTGAGAGCAATAGCCAGTTACTTTTTTCAACACACGATCAGTCATATGATCTTTATCAAAATTAACTAATGTCTTAATAAAGTTAGTTTCCCCAAGTTGTCGTTTTGCTTCGGCCCATGTTGGTTCAGCGCCTAACAATATCATAACTGCTTCCATAACTTTTTCCACTAGAGGTGGTGGACGCCCGTAAGAACGAATTTCAGTAATATCTTTCTTATTCAATGCTTCTAACGCTTTAACTGCTTCTTCCAACGCTGGCAACGCTTCATCAAGATCATGTTGTGCAGTCTCTGCTAATTGACGACATCGTTGTTCTTCTTCTTCGATTTTCTCACTCCGTGCAGCGACTGTTTTTTGATGCTCATCTGTCTCACGTTTTTGCTGTACAATGATCACTAAATATTCTTCACATTGCTTCTGAAATTGAGCTACTTTATTCTTGGTTCTTTCCAACTCGATGGACATGGTTTCAACCTTTGTTCTCGTTTCATCAATTTTCTCCAAACCATTGCGTAATTTATTTGCTTCATTCCCTAACTCTTTCTTTTTCTCATGCAGTAGACTTTTATAACCTGCTACTAATTCTAAATAATTAGTCGGTGTAACATAATTACGACGTTTCATTTCTAACCACATCTTTTCCGACATTTTAACCACTGAACTATGAATAGTAACGAATGTTTGAGCAATCTTAGGCTTCATTTCTTCAAGATCGCCCACATCAACTGTTTGGAGATATTTTTCAGCCACTTCTTGCAATGCTTCTTCTGGCCATTCTCCAAACCAATCGATGGTAGTGCAGTTAACAAATGCTGGAAACATACGAATTCGATTTCGGAAGGTCTCACCAACTGGACTCATGCATAGTACAATTCTTAAGTTACTACGCACTCGTTCAATTAAGTAAGCGAATAGGCTGTCTGTAGTATCTGGAATGCCATCAGTTTTAGCGGCTTTTAATAAACTCTGGCGGACTTCCTCGAATTCATCTTGTTTGTATAAATTAGGAACTTCACCGCTACTTAAGATATTGTTGATATCTTCCAGGAATGATTCTTGAAGAACTTGAGTATCGGCAAATAGGAAAACTGTTGGTTTATTTTCCACTCCAGTTGTTCGATATAATTTTCGGATATCTTCACGGAAATCGGCCGATCGATAATGCCTTGTGACTTCAACTTGGAATACTTGATAATTTAAGATATAAGATACTAGCCGAGTTAAACTTCGTCGACCACTACCACCTATACCTAATAATAACATATTGCCACGCGGTTGGCGAATAACACGAATAATGCGACAAACATGCTCGACTGCATCACGAAATAAGACTAAATCCATAGCAATCGCGCCTGGTTCCATATTATGATCTTCAAGTTGATTTTCTAAGCATTGCTTTAAATTAGCGAAATCAGTCATATCTTCATAGATTTGATTTTCCTTCATGAAATCGCCGAAAATAGGTACTTGTCGATTGGGGCAGATGTTATGAAATGGTAAATCAAATAGTGAGCCTAATTTTTCGGAGATTAATTGCTGAAATTCTTCACGATCTTTTTCATCGACTAAACGATCAGAAAACACTCTAAAGCATTCATGTATCCATAGCCGAATAATACTATGCTTGGTATCATGGAAATCACGATGGGAACGCAATAAACCCTGGAATACCTTAGATATATCTCTCAAGTTAAAAAGATAATGTATTTTAGTCGGCGTTGGCAACATTTTAGATACAATTGAATTATAGATATCAATCGTTGCTTGAGTCATGATATCACCTAATGGTTTAATATCTTCTTCAAAATCTTGTAATTTTTGATTGATCATCGTACCGTAGATGCGCTTGATTTGACTTTCTTGTGGGAATGTCATATTAATAAGGTTAAATCGGCTTTGTAATCGACCTGATATAACAGTTCTACCACCACCAGGTGGGCCCATTGCGGCTAGTAAATACATATCTTTGATATATTTAACAGCTTGTTTAGAACGATCATACCAGAAACCGTAATCGAGCCATTGACGAATTAATTCTAGTGGTGGCTGTGAGCCATAGGTATCTTTGGATGATATATTAAAGTCGTCCATAAAGGTTAATAATTTTTTCCCACCAACAGGTACATAAACACCTTTGGTGCGCTTTTCAACACGACTTTCGATAATATCCTGGACATTATTGGATGATGTCTGAGCTGACATGTTGATAATTAATTTGCCATATTGCTGTGGGTCAGCTCTTGAAATGACTCCTTGTGCAACGGATGTTTTCCCTGTTCCTACTGGGCCGACTAAAAGTGTTGGTGTTTGCGATAGTAAAAGTGATTGGACCAAGAAATCATAACGTAATGCATCCACAGTGGGTACAATAATCTTATAGAAAGGTAAATTAGGACTATATTTCCAGCTAGTGTGTAATTTCGACTCCCATAGTACCCATGTTTTCTGCTTAGCATCGACAAAATATTCATAGATGGTATCTTTGCTGGGAAATTGGCCTTCAATTTCACGTAAATAATTATCCATTTTTTTACGACTATGTTCATCGACTGATGCACAGATCGACCAAATGAGAGCAAATAGAAACCATAACTCGATCATTTTAGTATAGTAATCATCATTGGGTTGGACACCATTTTCAGCTGTTGCTAATGCATCAAATAATCGACATAACGATTTAATATTATTCAATTCAGTAGTCGGAACAAGCTCAGTGCAATGTGCTTGCTTATAGTCTAATACTTTTTGAACGTATTTGTCAAATAATCGCTGTAATTGTTCAACTGAATTGCGATCTTCTCGTTTTTGTAGCCATGATGTTACATAAGGTTGCCAGCCGATATCTCGATAATCTGTATAGACCATACCACAACGACTAATTGTTGCTGGCGAAGCAGCTGCTAAACTATCCACTTCGAATAATAATGATACCTGTTCAGGTAATGATATACGCTCACCGTTAATTAAAGTTAAAACTTTATTGTCGTCCATAACAGAATTCATCGATTCGATCCATAATGTATCGACAGGGCCATCAAAGACGAGCCATTTCTCATCTAATTTCTCATCAGAACATGTTTGACGCATAACACTGGATAAAACACCATCTGTCCATTCATTTGTTGATAAATCAAATTCGCCATACAATTCACCCAAAGATAGTGATTTAGGATTAATAGGGTATTCTTTAACAACTTGATAATTAGGGTCATTATGGACTTTTTTCATTCGTGTCATTGCAGCTTGTAATGTCTTCCAAACGACAGTTTTACCTGATTCAGTTTGACCTATTACCATGACGGCATGGCGTGAATTTTTAGTTTCATATAGTTGCAGTACTTTCATGATTAATTTCTCATGCGGTTGTAAATTAGATGATTTAAGTTCTTCTTCCACCACTGTACGTAATTGACCATATTCGGTGGTTGGCGCTTCGATACCAGGGAATAGATCGGATATGATACCGTTAAATAGCGGTGCATCACTTGATTTTAATTTAGCGATATTCATATCTTTCATGGCTAATAAGAGAACTTCTTCATCGAGCATATCTGTAAATTCTCGTTTCTTTCTACCAGCATATTTTAATACTGATACAAGTGCACGTAGACCGAAATCATAATGATCTTGTTTAGATAATTGTTGCACAGCTAACGAATAGAGCGTATGGACTTTTTTAGCTAAGACTTTGGTATTCGAAAAGCCTTCAGCAAATAAGATGATTTCAGCAATTTGAGCTGAATCTGGTACTACCATAGCAATGGGTCTAAACATACTCTTTAAATTGTCGGGTAATTCAGTTCGGCCAGCATAGCCAGGATTCATAGTGATAAAGATACCGCATGAACCAACTAAACTAATTTCACGACCTTCAAATACAAATCGTTGCGCACCATGTGATAGTGCCGTTAATATGGATAAGATTTGTTGAGCAACTACAGATAATACTTCGACATTGATACGATTAAATTCATCGAAACAGCCCCAAGCACCCGTTTGTGCCAAACCGCTATACATTCTACCCATAGATTTATAATCTAATCCTTCTGAACAGTTAACAACAATAACATAATTTCCCAATGCTTTTCCTAAATCTTTTGTCGTCTCTGTTTTACCCGTGCCAGCAGGTCCTTTAGGGCTGCCACCACGGTGAAGATGGAGCGCGGTAGTTAGTGTAATGTAACAACGATCTGTTAATGGCGTAATAACTAATCGTCCAGAATTACCTAGATACTCATAACCATATTGAAAGAGTGTGTTGGTTTGGCGTACAGCACAATCATCAAGTTCTTTCTCCCAGTAGACTCGCAATTGGCTTAGCCATTCGAATGAAGTAATATCATTGCAGCCAGTTTTAATCAATTTCTCAATAACATCACGGGCATGAACTTCAATCGTGACTAAAGCTACTAATTTACTACGTTGAATTTTTGACAGATTACCTCGAATCATTTCAGAGAATTTATTCAACATCGATATCTGCTTCTTTTTTAAGCTTTTTAAAGCTTTCTTCTCACCACTATCTTTAACAGAATTCAATGCTTTAGTCACATCGGCAGTCCATTGCATTTGACTAGCCACAATAACCAATTGGCCAGCCCATTCACGAACCCATTTTTCACGCTTATTTAAATTTTTCTTTAATTCATTACGACATCGTTTCAGATAATCTCTTAAATTCATTCTCATAGCACTTTCAATATCGCATAACCATGATTCAACTGGTCCTTCTAATATAACTGGTTGGATATATTCGATTGATTCGCCATCAGCCGATGTCATACCTAATGCTTCTGAGCGTGATAAATTAGCTTTATTTAGTTTTAGTGAGTAGATATTATCAAAGCATTTTTTTAAATGAGGTTGGACTGCATCTGGATTCTTCGATTGGCCAAGTATTTCAAGTAAATCGTCATTCGACAAGAAATAAAATCGTGGAAATACTTGTCTTTTGGTTTCTAAAAACATATCCAACGATTTTTGGATTTCTTCTAGTTTAACATTCATGTCGAATAATGTTTCTAACATGCCTGTATGATGAGTTCCTTCTAATGCATTATTTTGCTTATGAAGTCGATCCATGATACTCTTCCAGTTGGAATTAACAATATCGAATTCCGCTGATTCTTTTGGTAATTGCTTTCGGATATCTTCACCTAAGAATATATTCTCTAAATACATCCATTGACGCTGAACTGTTAAAATAAGTTCGACCACTTCTAAGATATGTGATAGAGTTCTTTCCCATTTATCAACTTCTTTTTCAAATGCTCGTACATATCGTGATGCTTTTACTGATGATAAAGTGACTTGATTATCTTCTAATTGCTGGAATAAATCGTCAGTTGCACGCAATTTAAAATAATTACGATCTTTATGTCTAGCGATATCTAAAGTCATCGCTTTCCAAGTACTAGAGATATCTTGCAATGCTAATTCGATAGATAATTCTTTAGATGCAGCAGCCGAAATTTCACTAATAATATCAGAAAACTGATCAAAACCCAAATCAATCATTTTTTCTAAAGTAAATTCTTTGCTAGTTTGATCAAAAGGTCTTTGCATTTCATTCTTAAGCTGAAACCAATGACGATCTCTCATAGCTGGATTTTTCAAATCAAGTATTAAAGGAAGTGTTCGCTTAAATTGATCAATTCGACCACGTATTGTATCGCAAATCTCCCAATTTTTGTCTTTTAATTCACGGCATAGTTTGTTGACCTTTTTCAACAAAGATTGAGATGTATATTCCATTGATTCGGTGACCAATTCCATGAAAATTTCGTTTTTCCAATTGGACCATAATTCTTCCCATTCTTTAGTATGAGTCCAAATTTGTTCTAGTTGATCGACATCCTTAAAAATGAAGCAAGGAAAGTTTAATCGATTGCCTTCGTGGTGACTTTGAGATTAAGAATTACGATTGGTATAAGAGATGAATTGGTAATATTTTATTGGCTTTGCCTATATAAGTTATGTTATATGTGGACATATAGAATGTCCTGCCTTACCTTTTCTAGATTTGCAAGTTCTTTGGATGGTGGGTGCTCAATCTTAAAGATACTTAAACCATGCTTTATCATGGATTCTTGTTCTTTAAGAGCTAATAGCTGATCATGGAATTTACTAAGAATCTCTAAAGCCTGTAGGATTTAAGAATGAAATTTTTAGAGAGACTTATTGACTGCAGAAGAATATCATTTATACGTGCATATTGATAAAAGCTATGAAATTTACCGTCTCAATAACTACAGTGCTTAAGAATGGTCCCTTGTTATTGAATTCGTCCCTTAAGTTCAAAATACTTCTCTTAAACTCATCAGAAGAGTGTAGTAAACCAGCTTTGAATTTTTCCTATATAAATGCCACATTAATACAGTGTTAACCATATATAGTATTACTTTTATTGAAATAAGAAACAGTTTATGTAATAATTCTTTAAGTAAATGCAATTAATTGAATAGCTTTAAGTCTTATTTCACATTAGATATGTAATTTCTAAGCTTAGATACCTTATGCTTTTTAAGCATGATATCAGAATCCATTAAGCATTGTTGGAAGGAAACCCATTCGCCATTAAGATCATTGAGCATCTTCTGAACCTGTATATTTCGTTTTAGGAAGATCATGAATCATTAAATTTATTTAATGTCTATTAGTCTTAATTATAACTATCTTCTGATACGTACATCAGCAGGAACTTCTACTTCGTACTTTTCTAACACGGCAAACTGTTCGTGTAATGGAGGAAACTTCGATTCAATTTTAGGCAAATCTAGCTGCAACTGTTCTAAAAGCGCTAAACTGTTACTTAGATGTGATAGTGATTGAGGTGGAGTCCTTAAATTTTCAGAATTGGTTGATAAGAATTCGTTTAATTCTTTCAAACGTGTTGTCGCCATCTCACTAAGCAATGTTGTGAATTTATTTTGCCATAAACTGCAATGATGATGAAGAGCAGCCTTTAGTGGTGAACAATCTAACATAACAAATTGGATATTCAACACTGTTTCCTCTTTAGAAACATTATTCGCAACTTCTGTATATCTAGCGATATCAGCATCAAATGAAGATACTGGTGGATTAAGATTTTGATAGCGGCGAATGAAGGCTTCTTTATTAACTTCCCATATATCTCTGTAATTATCCCATTTGGCTAAGTAGTTTTGTACATGGGTTTCATTAGTATCCAATCCAGCTAAAATAGCGCTTTGTATCTTTCGAATTTCATCATCACGTGAAATAATAGCATAGATTGCTTCTTTATCAGATTTTTCAGGTGTTAGTAAATCTGGCAAGCGTTTGATACATTTCATACACACAATTAACTGCTCGGTTATATCTTTAACCATAAGCGCTAATTTTTTAAGTGAGGGTGAAAACTCAATCTTGTCGCCAATTAGTGTAACTTTTACACGGAATAGCGGATTAGGTGAACTTTTACCATCGCCATTGATAACACGCGATAATTCTTGTAGTGACCATTTAACGTTTAACCTACAAGCCTCCTCGACCATACGGTCCATTTTTGCAGTATAACTTCTCCAGGAAGATTGTACCTTAAGTAATAAAAGTATTTTATAGCTATCACTATAAAGTAACGTATTGGATGAAACACCGAAAGAACTATTACTTACATCAGTACCGTCCCCTTTAAAAACTTCATATACTTGTTCCATTTTCTCGACGATGCCATGATGAATTTGCCTTAATTTTCTTTCTACAATTAGTCTATGCTGAGCCTAATTACAGAAAAATACTTATGATACAGAATTTATTAATGTAGACTATTTTCTTATTTTTAAATTACCTGATCTTCATCGAAATCCAAATCGTCGTATACTCTCTTTTTATCCACTCGGACTAATAGCAATTCACTAATACGCTTACATTGATCTGATATCGAAGCATTAGCATTTTTGTAGTCACTAACGATAGCTTGTATCTAAATAAAATACAAATAAATATCAATGATAGTTAATTGAAACGGCGATCTAATGCAAGTGTACAAGCATTTCCATCTAGCATGAAAGTATAAATTACATAAATTATTGTATGTGTAATTAAGCATATTTTCATAGAGCAAATATTGGTATGCAAATAACCTTGCTGGCGTGTAATCGACATTCACCGATAAAGAAATCGGATATGCCTTTAGTTGCCCAAGTTAACTTTGTAAGACCTGGTTGGATTTTCTTATCTAAGTAGCGGATTCTTTCTTTAAATAAGCCGCGCTCTTCGTTACTTAACGATAGTATGATTCTGAAATTGAATAAAGTAGCAATCCAGATTATAATTTACTATGTTATTCAAGTGAGAATCATGGTATAATATTTCAATTTACCCGTTGTAATCGCGAATAACTAATAACACGTTTTCGCGTAGTACACGTAAGTCTTCTCGCTTTTGATAGACTTCAGTAGCATAATGCGGTATTTCAAACATTAATCTCTCCCAGTAGTGAATTTCTGAGAATAGTTTCAATAGAGTTCTACCGAATTAAAAACAGATGTCATAAATATTAAATTTGGTATCTATTCTTTTATTTAATCAACACTATTAACTTGAATAAGGCGTATAACTTAGTTATCAGTATGACTCTTGTCCAAATTTAACAATGTTTAACTCTAAGTGAATACTATTGTGGTGACTTACTTGTCAAAATTTAAATCAAGCATAGCTGGGTATTCAGCACTTCTATGCATTAGAGGTACTTCCAGTAATTTCATTAATTCCTAATCACATAATGGTATTACAGTTTAATAATGATGAAATAGGATCAACCTAATTAGCATCTAGTGAATTGCTAGATCAATACTTACTCTGTCCACTGTACTTGTCCACTCATTGAACATTTTACGAACATATTCGTCTAATGCCTACGATGATCATAATCATATGTGCGGTAACATTTTAGTATTACGAATTAAATTTAGTTCTAATTATAATTTAATAAAGTATCATTTATCAGTCATCATATTTGTTAACAAACTTGGCCTAATTGTTGATATTGAGCCCTTATTTCGTCGCCAGTGCCAATTTGGGGCAGGAAGAATGCTTTCTCTAAGATCTAATGTGACCAATAACGATGGAATTATAAAGACCGTAGTATACGTTTATACAGTAGTTTTATATCTAGAATTGTTTTTAAGATTGGTCCATCAAGACGATGATAATTTCTTTCATGTAATGTTCTGTAAACTTACCTCCATTGGATAATCTATTCTCTTTTTTAGAGCTCTTGCCCACTGTGCTGAACCAGCATAACGTGGTTCGAAAGGAGATACTGCTGGAGTCTTAGTGTTAAATTCCTTCTTGACTAAGTTTAATTCCTCATTAAATAGTCCATAGACTTCCACAGTCTTTTTATCAATGGTACGCCTTATAGCCTATACAAAATATAATCAAAAAGAGTCATAAATAAATATCACAGGATACAGTGAACTGCGCTCATTACTTAATTTGTTGTATATCTAACCTCTCGTGATGATAAATGGCGGAAGAAATCAAGTAACTCAACACCTTCTTCAACAGTTGTAATCGTTTCAAAAGCTGATGTTATCACATTTTGCATCATAACTTCTAAATCTTTTATGCCAGTTTTAAATCTATTAGATAGAATAATTCATGTCCATTTAAGTGTTAAAAGAGTTATTAAATTCACAAAAGTGAGACCGAGTTCTATAATGGGTTGTTGTATTCGGAAGTACGTTAGTTAAATTGAGAATAAATTGTTAATGTTGTTATATGTAATTTTTATGATGGCGTAGACAAATAATGCGATATTGACTTACCTATTGTAATCATCATGCCACGAGGAAGCCTACCAATACAATTTAATGTGTATGGTTACATTTAATAGATTATGACTGTAGAGTAGTAATAGATGTGATCTAGCATCAAGCTAACCTTAACATCCAAGATGGTTTTCTTTACATTGCGTAAGATTTGTAAATTTTTATTAAATGTAGCTTCGATTTCCAACAAACTTCTTGTAATGTCAGGTCCACGCAAACCGTGAAATTGTGGCATTTGAATTTTGTTGCCGTCATGACATCTTGCAAAATGGACTTGACATTCACAAACCTATTAAGGCAATTAAGATTTGATTAGATAAGGTTGCGATACTATTTATAGGCGAAATATAAAAATGATAATGGTAAGATATAAAAAGTTACCTCTAGTAAATCTCTACAACGTTGAATAAATGCATCAACTTGTGCAAAAATACTTGTTCGATCTAATACCCATTTTTGTTCGCTAAGATGGTTATGGACCTTACTTATCTAATCGATTACGTAAGAATTATTCTAGTTGTAACATCTCTTTATAAGCAGGTAAATGATAAATGAGTGATATCTAATCTAGTTTTAAGCCTATTAAGATGAATAAAGATGCAAAATAACCTTATTGTATGTTTCTTTCCATGATTCACAGCAACTTATACTTTCATTTAATGCCGACGTAGTTTGAACAATTAAACCATTAAAGATGTCATCCAGCGATATTGTATAGCTACAGCGCTTAATAATTTCATTGCTAACCTATAAATAATTAGTTTTAAAAAGTGTACATATAGTATCAATATATTGACTCTTTTATGTAACGTTATTATTGTTTAGTTCTATATACTGCATATTTGAGCTTGACTGCTTATAAAATTAATGGATTTATTAGATTTCTTTTTTAGGCTAGTCATGAAAGGTTCGTGGTTGCTATTTTTAATAATATAATACGACTACAGAACGAAACTGTTACAACTGTTGAGCAATGTTGTTAATTACTTATAACTACTACACGTATTAGATTCGTCTAAGTAGAGTATAATGAATTTTTAAAATTTATTAATTTTATCATAATTAGAATATGAACAAATCTTACTTTTCTAAGTAAGCCAGTTAATCGTTCACGAGAGTTATAATACTCAGAATTGATCCAAATCATCCGTATGATGTTCAGAATACGTGGCAACTGAGAACTAATTTCCGACGGAAGAGATTCTGATAGGGTTAAGCAAGGTTCTTTTAAGGTTGATAAAAATTTCAGATTACTTTGTGCTTGAGCCGAACCATCCTAATATTGTGGTAATATAATATGAATAGCATAGGGTGGTTGATTTTTTTATTTTGAACGATTAATCGAGTAATTCCTGTCATTACCTGGATTAACTTTGATAGTCTTATAAAAGGAGATACATAGGAGGATTTAGCATGCTCTAATATATCTCGAATTCTCTTAACACCTGGCCTATCTAACTGCTCACTAAGACCGGATAAATCTAAACATCGACTTCGCCAAAATTGGATTTCTTCCAATGGCCCAGAATTTTCATCAGTTTCAACCGCATCTTGATTGCTTAGAACTTCCTTTATTTGACGAGTCCAGTGGATCATAGAGGCTGTCGTTAATAATAAATAATGAATTTGCTTAGATATATTAAACATGGGTAAAAAGTGAATGTCATAATATAGATAAGATTTGCTCTAGTAATTTTCTTATGTGACCTTCTAAACGCTGGACTAATTCTTTATTCTTGACAGCAGCTTCGGCATCGATGTTTAACCCCTCATCAGGTACATATAATACGGTGTGGCCATCCATCCTGTGAGCTGTATCCGTCAAACTAGCCATAAATTTGTGTGTCTGCGAGGAAAAGTCATTCTTGATACCTGTTGAGATGTTGTGTTAAGGCTATTCTATCCAATTTTTCGTATCTATCGATTCCCATACTAACGTCTAACTAAGACGTACTGTTGTCTAGATATTGATAAAATACTTAAGAATAAAAGGATACTGTCAGGCCATGTAGCATTTCGTAGGAAGAGTGGAGTATATATACTTGACATTAGTCTCAGCAGGCTTTGTATTGAATTTGCCCTAACGGTTCCATATTGTAGCATAGAGTTGATATTGTGCTGCGTTAGGGTAACTTTGGATGATCGAATGAAGTATGTCATTTCATCAACCTAATGGAAATAAATTCATATCCATTTCGCTTGGTGAGAAGTATTTATAGGTAATGGAAAGGTATTACACACCTGATGAGTAGATATTGAATGGGACAAACAGAGGCCATGTTTAGCATCAATGTATCCAATTAGTAAAGGTGTGTTGGGATCATCTAAAAATCGTTCCACAACGTCATCGTGCTTTTCGCTCCACATATCAGGATTAAAGTTTCCAAGCAGAAAACGATCTTTCACATAAGAAATCTGATAAAATAGATATTATTAGATACCATAGCTAATATAGTGGTGTAATCGTCACAATATCTCAGACCAACAGTAACGTCTAGGCGCTTACACATCTTAAATTCAAACTGGTTACTGATGTACTGTAGTTAAAGTATTTTGAAACTTTAGATAGGGTGTCAATTTATCCTGTTGTCTTAAGATTCTTAACGGGCAACAAAATAAAATATTTGCGTTTTCGAAACATTATTGCATATTTTAAATTATGGGTACTTTACATTAATTATATTACATTGACCAATAGTTACGATTAAAAGTGGCAGTAGATAGCTAATCTAAATGGCTGTGTTTGGTAATAGACTCCTTTAGATAGGCTATCACTTCTGACTTTTACCAGAACAGTACTTTACATTATCAAATAATAAAAAATTGCTTTATCGTAGAATTGGTAAATATAGAAAATGATTACCAAATCGATAGCAGGGGCAGATTCTATATTTCCTTCGTCCATTGAACTGCCATTAAGGTGATTACTCTGCTGTAGTGTATCGTCCATATTACTAGATGTATCATGTAATAATCCATTTTCCTTAGGAGTGTCTGCATGTAGCGATTCTTCTTTACTGTCTTGCTTTACAGGAGTTGAACCATTTAATGTGTCGTGAGTATCCGCTTTTACTTCTGTATCCATATTGGCTATTTCCTATATGAATACTTGTTCAACTGTAGTAAAAAGTGTTCGCGGCCCACTGTCCGCGGTAATGTTATTATAATACTCTAAATTTAAATTTGTAAGCTTTGCTTTGGCAATGTTTGTAGCAAGGACAATTTGATTTGTTGTATGACGGCTATGACCTGTAATAAACGAATGTTTGTGTGCCGTACGTTATATACTGTAGGCGGTTGTATATATTGAATATCAATTTGTCATACAATATAACGTAGGGTAGTATCCATGTATCTGCTTTTAAAATGCAATCTTAATGAAGAGCTTTAAAGCGACAAATTACGCACGGTTACCTTAGCAACCCATTTCCCTCGACTACATTGCATTACTTTAGGTTAAAACTTTGTGCGAAAAGAAAATCGATGCGGTGCACTGCAGTGTGCAGTACAGTACGGTACAGTACAGTACACGTCCGGTAGTCCAATTTTTTCAGCTCAAGTACAGTACACAGTACAGTAGTTAAAAGAGGTTTCTGTACAGTACAGTACAGTACTGTAGTCGGATAAATTTATGATAAAATATTGAGACCAACTGTTCGTTATGGCAGTACTTGCGTATGCAGACGGTCCATTTTGAAATGACTGATGTTTTCTAAATTAAGTAATATTACATTGAATCTTATTATCTGTTATAAATTTCTGCTTGAAAGCAGTTACATAAGATCGTAGACGCTATTTAAATTAGTACCAGTGATTTAAAAAACAGCCATGGAAGATTTATGCTAATCATTTGGTAAGGAAAGTCCGCCTGTCTGGTCTGTACAGTAATCCGCCGTTGAGGGGTTGAAAAGAGTTTTGAATAAGGGTGGGTTGGTATGAGAATGACTATCACGGACTACTAAAATGGTATTTCAGTAGTCCTACTCCAAGGGGGCTTTTACAGTAAGAAAGTACCAATGGTATTTCAGTAGTCCTACTCTAAGGGGGCTTTTACAGCAAGAAAGTACCAATTTTTCTTGAGTAGTCTCTGGTATTAGGCATACAACACACTGCACAGGGTACACGTATGAGCTGTATGAGCTACTGCGTAGACTATACGGTATTATATTGTGTACTTGTGAAGTCGCTACAATTTCAGTTTTCCACAAGTAAGAAGCTGCTCTTATTTATCCTGAGCGCAAACATTGCAAAAGCAAAATCATAATGCTGTTTGATAATGTACTTTCATGCAAAGTAGTCTTTTCTAAAATTGTTTTACTGAACTTTTACTCAATTCTTATTACTAAACTATTCCCGCTTTCATGCAAAGTAGTCTTGTGTAAAATTGTTTTACTGATCTTTTTACTCAATTCTTTTGACTAAAATATTCCCGGTGCTGATTGACTCATTACTTCAGTAAAGTGATATTATTCTTTGATAGCAATTTACACTCCACTGCATTGCATAGCACTCTTGATGAATTCTTGACAGAGGATTACGATTATGCTGCTAGGGACTACTAAAAAGAGAGAAAACCTTGTGTATCTTTCTAGCAGACTACCAGGCTTGTTCTTGATCTCGGCAGATCTCCACTTCTCACCTGATGTCAGGCTATGTTTACGGCATTCATTTTAGAGTGGTGTCGAGTAGAGTAGAGTCTACTAGAGTACAGTACTGTACAGTATCAGAGAAGGATATTGTACGTACAGTACTGTACTGTACTGTACAGAGTACTGTACAGTATGAGAGATTGCTTCCAAGTGGTTGTACAGTACTGTACACTGTACAGTACAGTACAGTATGATGCAGCCCAGTACAGTACAGTACAATCGCGTACAGTACAGTACAGTACTGTACTGTAAAAGCGACAATGTACTGTACAGTACAGTACAGTATCAAAGAAGGACATTGTACTGTACTGTAGAGGTCATTGAGGTACTGTACAGTACTGTAATGACACTATGAGGCAGCACGCTACAATCGCGTAATTACAGTACAGTACAGTATGAAGCAGCCCAGTACAGTACAATCGCGTACAGTACAGTACTGTACTGTAAAAGCGACAGTGTACAGTACTGTAGTGGTCATTGAGGTACTGTACGTAGCGACTTGGATCAAGTTGTACAGTATGAGAAATTGCTTCCAAGTTGTGGTACAGACTAACCGTACTGTACAGTGTACAGTACAGTACAACATAATGACAGTATGAGGCAGCACGCTACAATCGCGTATAAAAGTGACCCCTTACCAAGATTGACTGCTATAGCGTAACGAGTGGCAGAGCGCTTTTGCCGCGTACCCCCTTGTGGCCATTTCTTCCATCAACCGCCATTGATAAACTGCATTTGCTATTGGTAAGTTTTCATAAATTGACAATAATCCACACATCAGACTTTGAATTGGATTCATCTTTAATTCACCCTATAACTATTATATGCTTTACAGGAAAAATATTTTAAATGACAAAAAACCAGCCTAAGTAATATGCTATTTAAACAAGGTTGATATTGTACGTAGGTACATCGATAGAGATTGTTAGTGTATTAATACACAAAGTCAGCCAGTTGTGTGTGTAGAGAGAGAGAGAGACAGCACTGTTTAAAGACTACAATTACAATCTGATTCGCTTTTTTAATCGATCAATTTTAACCTCGGATGCAGTAAATATCTACCAAATTAACATGTTACTTTTATGTTTACACCATTATCTACAGGAGGAGGACAGTCATTATCCAGCATAGTAAAAAGTTATTTGTGCTGAACGACACTAGGCACCACAAGCAACTTTTTTTCTGTTGTTCAAGTCGTCGACGTCGGTGAAAATTATCACCACTATTATCGAGAGTCACAATGCCAAGACCCGGTAATTCCAGTTATCGTAGTCGAAGTCGAAGTCATAGTCCTGCTCGTCGTAATCATTATCGGGATAGATATTACCGCGATAAGCGGAGAAGCCGTAGTCGGACACCTTCGTCTTCTCGTGGACGCAGTAATAAGCATAATAAAGAGGAAAGTAGGAGCCGTTCCAAAAGTCGAGATATCTTTGGACGTGATATCAATCGTCGTGATATAACTAATAAAGACGATGATAGAAAGACGTAAGTATCATTGCTTCGGCGGTTAACAACTTATTTTTTGAAATCACTGGATCAAGTCAATCGGAACAGTCTTCCTTTTCATCCAAGATACGTTGAGCAAGCGACGACGTAGCCCATAATTCTAGGGTATTCGGACGTCATCATTTCAATATTGCACATTACTGACTAATGACAATGAACGATAGTATTTAAGAATGATAATCAGACGTGCCTAGTCTAGTCTAGTCATAGATTTATCTTTTATTCTTCGGTAAACGATACAATACTAGGATTATAAACTGGGCAAGTAGACAGTACGGTAGATGCAGTTCAATATTTTACAACTACTTCGGTTGGATTATCACTCAATCGCAAAATCAAATCAACGCTCTAACCCTAAATCCTATAAATATACTCTAGATTAACGATAACTTAGGTTCATTCTATTTGGATACAGAATTAAACAATTCCATACAGCGTCGCATGGTAAATTACCAGATCTTGAAAGAACTAAAATAAGTTCGCAAATCATCTTATGCGATAGTGGTCATATGTACGTTTATAATTAACTGATACGTCAATGGTATATTAACTTATCCGATTACCGATCAATCTTAAATGCGATAACCGCTTGCATTGTACGCAAAATATGATAAAGATGCCTTGACTCTTTTGGTTAATTAATAATCGAATCTACTATAATACTAAAGGGAGGGGTATAGGAGAGAAGCTTTTCATCTTTCATTTTACTATTTTATCCATTTTTTTCAATAGTGGTAGATAATATAATTGAGCTAGGGACTTTGCAAGTTTTTCAAGAGCGTCTATACGCGTATACGAGTAGATTGTGCAGTATGTATTTGAACATTAAGAACTTTTTAAGGAGGGTTTATCCCTTAGTGTTGATCTCCGGGGTAGTCCGTTGTTTTTGTAAAGGCCTTTCCTGTACTACTCAATTTCTGGGAAAGTCCATTTTCTCTTCTTTTCGGTTCAATATTCAGGAAAAGTTGCTAATAGTGTACCGAAAGTAGTGTAAAAACAATCTTTACCATTAGTTAAATGTGCCTTTTAATGCATCATCTTACCATATGAAGTGATTGAAGATGGGAGATCAGGTGTAACACGGTCTATCTTGCTAAATAAATTTGCGATAAAGATGCATATACTTACATAGATTCAATGCCAATGTTATTGATAGTGCAACATTTTCTATATACGATGTTGATAATGCTTAATGGATACGAAATTATAATATCGATGAAATTCATGTTAGCTTATGTGTTCGAGTTATGGACAACGTAGGACCGTAAATTAATGGATGCTTATTTGTAATACATTCTACTCTACTAACTGTCTCCTATTTGATTTCCTTCTTGCAATGTAGACTCAGCCGGGCTGAAATAGAAGGTACGTTTGTTCATATTGTAGTAGATATTTGCTTGATCATCATGCAGTAACAAGATATTGCTTAATTGATTCAATTATCATGGCATAGTTTGTCTTACCTTAAGGTTATCAAATCACGTGCAATCGACTATTTATGTATGTTAAAAAAATTATGATGCCCTACAACCTAGAAGGATCTTTACGGTTTACCAATTTTTGCATAGAGGAAGACATAACACTTCGTAATGTTCAAAAATTTTTCTTAACATTGTAGTATGTAATACGCTTTGAAGGTATTCAAAAGTCATTCTATATAGAAGTAACCTTAACAATTACCTGTATCGTTAATTACATAGAATTGTAGTAATGCTAAGGATATTACGATACTATTAAGAATCAAATGGTTAGTCGTCAGTACGTTGTTAGTAAAATAAAAATTTATCCATTTAATTAAATCAAAGGGAATGTCGAAATGGAAGTGATGCGCCGTGTTGCTGAAGCCAAGTTATTAATGGAGAAAAAACTTCAAGAAGAATATGATAGGAAATACGAGCTTGCTGTATCTGAACTACAAATGAAAGAGGTCATACGATACCATGTTTATAGCTGTTAAATATTTTTGGTTATAATGTGTAGTCCCAATCTTAACTACAACAATTCGTATGAAGGAGAAGAGCAATTTGTTATTATAGGGTGATTGAAGATATGCGATAATTAACTCTTTATTGATTACCGTATTTACAGATCCTTGCATCTAGTATTTTTATTTTAATCAATTTCGATAAAGTTTAGATAACATCAAGAGCTGATCGGACTCAGATTAGCCAAAGCACAACCCTCTCCATTCACCATTAGTTGGAAGAAAATTTCATTGTTACTATTGTCTGCACAAAAGTGATTGCAGTCATATTAGAACCATTTTCATTGTGAAATATCAAGACAGGTTTTACTGTACAATTTTCTATCATGTACGTTGTACTCTATACTTATATATTAAATAATAAAGATTTGGTGAGACCAACATCGATACTATTGCTCGCTACAGTTATCCAACTTGATAATCATTCTATCATACATTTATAATCTCACTGAAGTTAGCGGAATTATGAGTTGGTTGGTATTTAAATTTTTCAAAGTATTTACAGGTAGTAGAATGTAAGTTCATGTAATCGTAAAACTTTTGTGTTGTATTGGCGATAGCACACACGTCACACTTGAGCCTGAACTCAATTTGCCGACGTTCTGAACTTCAGTAAGGTGGTATGTTGATAAATAGTAGTGCACATACTTACATATTGTATGCTATTGTGCTACTGTAGGCAACAGAGCGTGACAAACTCCAGGAAGAGAAACAAGCAGTAGAAGGAGAGAAAAAAGTATTGGAAGAAGCTCAAGCAAAACTGGTAAATAGGCTTTAGTATGTATGTTAACCTAAATTTAAATTACCTGAAATGAATAACGATAAAATGTATATTATCATTGTGGTATTTTAGGCGGAAGAACGCCTTGCTCTTTTAGAGCAGCAAAGACATCTTAATCAACAAAAAGTAAATATAAGTAAAGAAAAGAAACGATTAGAAAAATTAGAGCAGGAGTTAATCCTTAATAAAAGCAAGCAAGCCCGCCCTAAGTTATCGTTTAACATAAAGCAGAAGAGTATTTTGTAATGACGTATTGTTGTTCTGAACTCTCTATATGGATTAAGTCAACGACCAAAAAGGTGAGCGGCCAATAGATATAGTTAAATCTTCTTGCGTACAATACTACGTATACCGCTTGGATTACTGTGGAGGCTTTACATCGGGATTTTTTCGCAATGGATACTGCACTTATTACCCATCGACATACGGTATATCCATTTGAATACAAATACCTTGATGTATTAAATTCTAAATATCATATTTGATACTTTCAAGTAAGACAAACATACTTACTTGAATTCCGTTTAATCGACCTGATTGTGTACCATCGACATTATATCTCGACTTCTTCATTTCTCATGTACGTATCCTGTTATATTGCGATTATTATGTATTTAGAAAAAAATTGACAATGCCTTCACGACTCATAAAAGTTCTGAGCGCTTGTGATATATTAGTTAGCTACATTTGTCTTTATTCTTTGTGTCTCATAATGTACAAAAAATGACTGTTTTCAATAAACTTTACAGAAATTGAAAAGATTGATAAAGATGGTATCGTTTTGCAAATGACTAGTTTTAATTTTGCTTAAAGCTGAATGCGAGTACACCTGTATTTACAAGATTGCAGTATGAAGATAAAATTAATTTACAGGACTTTCAACTCTATGCGATTACAGCAATATCGTTACAGAGTGTTGACTCCAGTACAATTTAAACATAAGTAAATACGTTGAAAAGATTGATATTGATTAATCTTCAAAATTATAGTGTTTTCAAAGCGATCGTAGCATTCGCGATAATTTGAGGTGGAGTAGTTTCCTGCTTAGCGTCAATTAGAATATCAAATGCGAATGATAATAGTGATTGCAGGGTTTTAGATTACTATTACAGCCAATTCGCTAAAATGATTTTAATTTGACAATTATATAAAATGATATCAGATAGCAATTAACGTTAAATAATGTAGGAGTGGTTATGTACAGGATCAATTGGAGAGTAGTTGCATATTAATTAACATGTAATAGACCTGTATTTAAAAGTTTCTTTATGGAGGTAAGTTGATACTTCATTTCGGTAATATTAACGAAATTTTTCCCTCAGTTTATGCCATTCACTTGCCACCGCAGTGCGTTTCTGCCAAAGATATTCCTGACCATATAGTATATACGCTCTAGGTTTGTTATGATAGCATAAAGCTTAAAATTTCTAAAGTTATGAAAACCCAGGTAATGCTTTTTTATTGTGTCTGACTAACCCTCCAAATAGTGCTCCACTTAGATGTGCAGAATGACTCAAAAATCTCCACCTAAATAGTAGTCCTAATACATCAATGGCCATTATCGCTAGCATTCCCTAATAGTAAAAAGTGATCCTAAGTATATTTGTAATAATGCAGCAATGGATAACATAGGGCATTTGAAAGTTCTTACGTGAGTAATTGGGAAAGAGAAAAATGGAAGAAATATTATAGATAGTTGAGTATCAGGTCTTTTCAAACATATTACTGCTAATGTTCCCATTAATGCACCAGACTAAAAGAAATCCAACCGTTCAATATTTTTACGTGGTACTTTATACTACATAATTTATGACACTATTCAGATTTACTTACCGCTCCAAGTCCAAACACCCGAGTGCTTCTAATTGCTAGATGATATAAGTTTTGGCCAAGTGAGGCAAACACGCCTATTAAAACAGAGTCAGATACACTGTTACACGTGTATTGTAATTGTTTACAAAGTTAAAGGGATATTTAGCATGATAGCATATTCTTCAACTCTTAAAATTATCAATATTCTTTTAAGTTTCTAGGTTGTTCAGAACTCATCTACATTACCAGCTGATATGTACGTAGCGAAAAATTGCTCTTTACCAAGTATATCTAGTGAATTGAGTCAAAATTGAGAACAGTTATTATCAAAGTAAGAATGTGTACTGAATTGCTTATTCACTTTGAAGACTGAATGAGATACTTGATAAAATTATTAAATGCTAGTAAAGTATGTGTATAACTCCCATCAAATAGTAGTACCGCATGCTAAAGGTGCAAAATTCCATAAAACAAACATATTCATGCCAAGGTGCCACCAATCGAAATGGCTGAAGGTGCTTGTTAATAGGGTTATAGATCTGCCTATATTTACGATAAGTAAAGATATTAGCTTTCAATGTTAATTCATTTTGTAAGTAATAATAAAGAGATAGTTATCGCTATAAATGAGATTAGTAAATTCATAAATACTTTACCACTAGCAGGGTTGTTTGTGAACCATCGTACCATAAATGGAAACAGCTTAGGGATCTTCCACAATGCAAACACTCCAGCATTAATAGCTATGATGGCTGAGTGATAAGAAAGTTCAATTAAGGCTTAGTTAGAATTAGCTATTAAGGCTAAGTTATTGATAAAATGCACATTTCTAAAGATGCAGCAATAATTGAGTTTTCAACCATCAATTGTCTATTTGCAACCATATTAATTCTTTTCGAATTTTATAATTTAAATATGCAAGTAATTTATTTGGCTCTAACTTGTAGCAACTTTGCGACTATCCGGTAAGGAATTCCACCATCGATTGAGCTGCGAAAATGTGTAGAGACTCCATTGATTAGCTTATACAGTAATGACAATTATAATTATTTATTCTATGATGCATACAGCTAACATAATTTGAAAGGAATATAAGTTTGTTGATTGATTATACGATATCGATAGCGTTGATTAGTACAGATGTATTTCCAAAAGTGAAGTACGTTTTGTAGTCCTACCTTTCTCCTGAATTCGCCATTTTTGTATCGTGTAAAATCCTGAAAGAAATCTTTAAAAGGGCCCCGTATCCTGCTTAGCCCCATGATACCCAATGATCTCATTTTCTCATATTCGGCAATGATAGCACCTGTAAAGCTTACGGCACATACCTTTCAAATATAATATTAAATGTAGTTGTTACACTTTTATGAAGGGTAATATAGTAATATCACATAATTAAATATTGCAGCCACGCAAGCTTACAGCAACACTGAATATGAACGGTTTCGTTACTAAGTTACGAAAGCTTGCATTCCGGTTCTTCTCATGCATATAACGGTCCGTAAATTTGTCAGCATTGTCATGTGTGCTACGTCTTAATTGTCCCGGTCTAAACTGATGGCGGACAGCGTCCAATCGGAAGGGATTGTGCGTAGAGATATTTCTAAATAGAATTAAATAGAACTTATTTAGTGACTATTACTTCATTCATTATTAACATATAATCGATTCGTTATTGGAGATTCAAACAATAATGTTCAACTTATTTTTATTATTTGCTACAAGGAATCGGATCGCAAACATACATAAAACTGGCGATATCATGCTATCCACAATGTAGTATACTTAGGAGAAATCCATTATTAATTATTGGTCTTAAATGTTGAATATGCAGCATCTATTTGACCACTGCGTTTATTATGAGCACTAATCTCAGCAGTAATAGGAATTACAGGTGGTGTTGATAAACTAATCATAGCGTCCGTGACAGCCTAAAGTAATGATAATAATCCAGAATGTACAGTAGAATGAATCAGATATCTCTCTCTATATACAGTACATGAAAGTAGTTCCTTCTGATGCTGCTAATACAAGTCTTGTATCATTATTATTTCTCTTACTTCTGCAGAAAAATATCCCAGTCTCACTACTTGATTAATAGAATTACTGCATAGGTACTGTAATGAACACAAATTGCACTTGATCGTCATTGCTAATTTATAGTCATTTGCATGGCATTGGCGCTCTAGTATTTAGTGAGTTAATTTGTAATGCAAGGTCAAGATTTAGCGCTGATAGCATATAAGATATGCACTTAACGATCAATAATAGAATTGATCATTTATTCTCAAGGCGTCTACGTACCTGATGCAGAGTCTAGGCAAGCCCCTCGAGATTGCAGTAACCGTTGTTAAACCATTGATCATCATCGTCGCTTGAACACTATCGAGACTTCTCCTAAGGGTATACTCTCATGTACTCTACACACCGCCAGTTGTTCAATGAATATACACTGTACAAGAAATGATTGCCTGTGATTCCTTGGCTCATGTAATTTCCTATTGAGATGTTATTAAAGCTAGTGGATATTGTTATTGATTAATTGAAGATTTGTAGTCTTGTATTATAGGAGGAAGGAGCTGAGTTGCGTGCAGAGCCGATCGTCGGGTTGTCTTTCACACGCTTGACTACTGTACGAAATGATGGAAGATTTTCATACTAAGTGAGCATCGATTGTACACTTTCCGGTATTCATGTTTTGGGCTGCATACACGACATAGTACTGTGCCATTATACTGTAGTACCGTACAGTACAGTATTGCACACTCTATGCACAGTGTACAGTACTGTACTGTATTGCACGCTCTACCTGTACTGTATGCACAGTGTACTGTACAACACAGTACAATGTACTGTACAGTACAAGATGCATGTCGGAGTACTTAGTACTGTAGTACTGTAGTGTACAGTATTGCACACTCCATGCACAGTGTACAGTGTACAGTGTACAGTACAAGAGGCATACCGGTGTACTGTACACTGTACGGTACAGTACTGTACTGTACTGTACTGTACTACACATACTGTACTGTACAGTACAGTAGTTTACAGCCCGTACTGTAAACTACAGTACTAGAAAACTTTGAATAGCAGTACGCAAACATGATGCCATACTGTATTCAGTAGAAAGCTAGATCCAATTGACGTACAGTACAGTACAGTTGCTACCCATATTGGCTAATGCACTGTAGCTAGTCGCCCTAAAAAGTACTGTACACTTACTGACTGAACTGCAGTATCAAACGTCATCATAAGCCCAAAACAAAGCCACTGATGCCAAATCAGCCAAAACGCCTGCAAAATCTGCCAAAGTGAACATGGCGGCGTTGTCTTCTGTTCGTTCCAAGCAGGGCAATAAGAGCCAAATGGATCAATTGTCCTTATGGAATAGCAAGAATGAATGTATTGCTCCTCTAAGCGAGAGCCAAATCGATAGTATTCACCAGTTGGCTTTGCTATCCAGACATTTACCTATGCCATCTGATGTTACTCAGGTAGGTCTAGGATTAGCATTATCAGTCAAGGATGGCCATGCAATGGCTGGAAGGAAGCGATCTTATTTTAGCATAGAACGATTGATAATTGTGTTTTGACGCAGTGTTATAGCTTTTACGATGCATATTAGGTAGTGTAGTATAATTTGTCTTTGTGGATTACATAGAATGTTTTATTTATGATATATAGACGACGATGAAAGCGGAAATCAAGGATGAAAAAGATCAAGCAAAGTCGATCAGTTCTATACCCGCTTCTCCACGATCGCCTAATATGCCAGAATCGTTTGAAAATCATGGCATGAAACAACCTGTCGAAACAGCACAACAGGTATTAATCTGACTAAATTGGAACGAATAGAAACACTTAAATCATTCCATCGTACTCTCTCTTATCTATAATGATATTACAGCGCTGTCGTTGCTTTCTTTAAATTCGTCAATCATCACTATGGCAGCAAGAACTGGATGTCAGAGTCATCATTAATGGCGACATGTAGCAATGCATTGTAACACTTTATTCCTTTTTCTAGTTCTTTTCTTGGTTCGCAGATGTTGAATTACAGATGGAAAGTGAACAGGAACAAGAATATAGGTCAGTTGCAAGCTAAGTGGCGTATACAGCCGCCTTCGTACTTGTTAATTTACGGCTACTCTGACGAGTACAATGTTGCTATCAGCAGTGGTAAAACACCTGCGTAGATATAAAGATAGACGCATTAGTTACGTTATCAACTTGGACTGCACCTTGACCAATGACAATATTGGAGGTTTTACAGCTTCTTAAAGAATTCTTTTAATATGAACTATTATTACCTTTGAAAATAGTAATCATTCCCTTTACAAGTTACCCTACAGTGTTATAGTTTCACTTTTACTGTAAAAGGTGATGTTATCGGGATTGGTTTAGAAATGAAATCAAATAGAATGATATGTAATTTGAATGATAGAGCATACAGCGATCAACTTGATCAATATTACCAGCTGTGTACGAGCATCGAAGAACAGATTGATAATGCTTTATATCACTTGGAAGAATTAAAAGATCAGCATGTTACGGTTTCCACTAAAGCGAATACATTGCACGCTGCTTGTGAAAAATTACTAGCAGAGCAAGTGAGTTAATTCACGCTATTTTATCTTTTCGGCTTATTTGTTCAAGGTATTTACTAGGTATTTTAGTGTATAACGCTTACCATTGTGTTAGTAAAAATATTTTACCATATTCTTACATCGTACTTCGAAACTAAAGCATGCAAATAACTTTGATGTTAGTAGTACATTGCACAATACTGCCTGTTTTAGAATTTGTAATGTTCGTCAATAGATTAAGTATCTATTATTTTGTGTACTTTAAGACAAAGCTGATGACTGTTGCTGAAAGTATAAATAACAAATTATCCTACTTTAACGAATTGGAAAAATTAAGTCGGGTATGTAAATGATAATTAAAACAAATTCCATTGTAGTTGGTAAACTATTGACGATATTAAGGAATGGGGCAATGAATTCATTTTTTACTTACTCTGATAGAAATTAAGTTTACCAACACTCTCGGTTACATCTGAGGCGTTTGCTAATATCCTTGCAAGACTTGATGAATGTCTTAGTTTCCTACAGTTAAATGTAAGTTATGTAAATACCCATCGATGATTATGTACTATTAGATTTATTGATTTATTTCTGTACCTTTATTAATTTTATAAATTTGTGTTGCTTTTATTTTCTAGCCAAGCTATAAGGAATCACAGATTTATACTCTGCGATTTCGTCAATGCTTACTCAGGTCATTAAATATGATAAAGCATTATGTAGTGTCTAGGTTCAAAAATACCACACAGATAATTCTCAAACAGGTACTGTGTACTCTAGTTTCAATTTTAGTGCAACCTATAAGCGTATTTATAGACCATGATCTAGTGTATCTTATATGCGAGTATGTACAAACCTACCGACTTAAAATTTAAATTAAAACAAATTTTATAGACTAATCGAGTAATACCTCCGGAAAGAGTATTTACTGAATATTACAATAACTTTCGTACGAGCTCAGCGAAAGTGAAGGTATGCAATTCTATTGGATATCCACAACGTTTGGTAATCGTTATTTTATAATTCCTAAATTGAATATACTTTGTTATTAGGTTGTTACTGAACTAGTGGAACAACGGGCAAATAAAAGCAAAGAGTAAGGACTAAAAATATAAAATTGTTCTATGGATGCGCCATGTAACCTTATTATCTATTGATAGGTATTTTGCGCTATTGCAAGACTGCCGCCAGTGTTATACAACTCAACGAATTGCAATTATGACAGGCTATATTCAAAGATGGATTCAAACTATTCTACAAGAGCATCTTCGCGATCATTGTGCCCAGGTAGATGATGAAAGTATACTGCAATGATGGATACATACTTTGTTGCTTTGGAAAAAGTTTATCATAGTAAAACCAAGTTTTCATCTAATAGGTTCGAGCAGGCTGCAAATTTATGCTGCATGTCTGCCACGATGAATACGAGTTATATTTTAATTTCTATGGTATGGGAAGCGATGAAATTAGGTTAGCCAAAAAAGCAATTAGTAAATGTGTTGACACGAGTAATATATCGCCCCTTCGTTTACACTTTTCTATCACATATTATAGTCAGCTTTTAGAATACTTTTCGAATTGCTTATACACATCCTTGCGACCTGTTATTATCAAAATAAATCACTTGGAAACCCTCGCAGAACTTTGTTCAATCTTAAAGGTAATCACCATTGATATATTGTTAAAGGCGTCTATGTCTGAAATAGTTACATATTTTATTGAACTGCGTTGAAACAGAGTTTCTGATACGAGATAAATTGATACTTGCAGACTGAATTATTGGAAGATCAAATCATTCCTAAAGGTAAACTAGAAATATGAGCTTGTCATTTTAACTGCAAAACTTGATAACTCATTCCTGATATGCCATTTCCAAGGTGACGAGCTAGCAGCGTTCGGTTTAATTGTTTCTAATATGCTCGAAGATGTACAAGAGAGGCTTGTATATCGAGCACAGGTAAAATTGTTTGTTGTTACTGTTGTATATTACTAATATAGTATTGGTGTATTTGATTGGACTTGTATTGACGCTCTTGCTAATTATTTTATTTATTAGGCATATATTCAAAACGATATTGATAGATATAATCCAGCACCAGGAGATTTAGCTTATCCTGACAAATTGCAAATGATTCATGACATGGAAGTAAATATCATTTAAGTACAATTTTATGCTAGGGTAATGAAATTATGCATGCAGTACCACATGATGCTACTAAGGCTATTATTGTATTTTGACAATAGCAAAAGCAAACGCCTGAAGATAAAGAAGGATTAGATGATAGCTTTACTGATCCTGAAATGACTTCTATACCGCTTGGATCTTCAACCCCAATGAACCGACCAATGCAACCGCTACCAGTAGTTCCAACCGCAGATTCATATGCTATGTGGTATCCAACTGTGCGTCGCACATTGCTATGCTTGTCAAAATTATACAGATGTGTTGATGTAAGTAGGATGATTTAGTGAGCCTCTGCGAAGATATCGCTTAAATGTAGTTTTCACTTTTTTATTTAGAAATATATCTTTGAAGGACTATCCCAGGAAGCTATTTCTGTCTGCATCCGATCTTTAATCAAAGCTAGTCAAATGATTATAAGCAAAAAGGTTGCTGAGATTTTCAATATCATCTGAGTTAGTAACAACGAATTAAAATGCAGAATTATTTTCTTTTTGAATAGAGTAAAACCGATGGCTACCTATTTATTATTAAACATATATTAATATTACGAGAACAAATAGCCCCATTTGAAGTCGAATTTGCCGTGAAAGAAACTTCACTTGACTTTAGCCATATTAAAGGTTTAACAATACTTTTTAATACTTGAAATATTTTTTAATGTCTACTAACATCGCTTCTTGGTGTAAAATTGTTGTAGATGTTGCGTACGATTTGTACTTGAAGGGTCGCAAAGGTTTGACGTTGGATAGTAATAACACTGTTCTAAAGTTACTACTGGATGTAAGCTCAACTATAACGATAATTTTTTTTAAAATAAAATTGATTAAAAATTCGATTTGGAGGGAAATGATCTATAAAATCATATTGTTTTTATCTAGGGTATTCCGCATGTCACTGAAAGTTACGTCGATTCTAAAGAAAATGTGAATAAGAATTTAAAGGAATATTGTCAACTATTTATAAATCATGTCACAGATCTGTTTGTAGCTCCTATTAAAGCATTTATGGATAGGGTAAGTATTGCAATTTCTAAACACTGTTCGTATGTAAGAAAATATCTGAGCTACGTTTTGATTTTAAAATAAATTTGTGCGGTAATATAGGCAGAAGTGATTTTGTCAATGGACAAGAACAACTCTAAAAATAATAAGGTTTTTCTGGCAAAACAACCTTTCGCGCAACCTGGCAAGTTATTTACAAATACAAACTATAATTTTATGTTCTCAGTTTTAGCAGTTAATTTATGGTTATATCTTTCTGAAATCCTTTAGAAAAAGTTCGTGAAGTTATTAATGAAACGTATACAGGTATAAAAAGAAAGGTTACCGGCATTTTAATGAGTATGTCTATTTATTTGTCCAACAAAGATACCGAATACATTCTATTTAAGCCAATTAAGGTAATAACGAATTAGTTTAGGTTTTTCTTATTGAATCGTTCGACGTGATTTAAACTATCATGATTTCCTGGATCGCTAAAATTTAATATTTGGCGTATAATTAGGCGAATGTATTACAAACTTTTAAGAAGGCATCAGAACTGATTTCCTCAAATTATTCTGATGAAGACCAACAAATTATAGGCTGTCCATCTCAAGATCAGGTAATTACATCGTTAGATGTTATATATATTAAAGACTTTATCACAAAATTCTTCCATGAGGATGTCTTGAATGTCTTTTACAGTCAACACAACTGTTATAGTTATGCATTTCTTATTTTGTTTACTTACTAAATTAGGTTACAATGCTACTTGCAACAACGAAAGTAGCAGAAGATTGAAACGTTACGAGATTATAATATTAAGAATTCTATTATTAGCAACAGTGTGGCTTTTATTGCAAACAATGCAATTTGTATATATGTTAAAATTGAAGCTTGCTTCATCATTTTCCCTTTCAAATTAACTTGTCCATAATATAATGTATTGAGCAGTCTTTATAGCACTAAGATTATATCGATCTGTGATAATTTTTGTTTTGAAACAGCAAAATATGCGGCTATATTTAACAACGGTAGCAACGTGAAGTTATCGCTACTCTCTTTACTGTACTGTATGTATGTCTCTAACTGCTATTACAATTTGGAAACTAAATCAAAATTTTTATTAAACATTTGTAACCTAACTTACGCGAGAAGTCAAAGAGTATTTTTACAATGTTTTTGTCTCAAGTACTGCATTAATATCAATACTAGAACAATTAGTATTGTGGCTATAGTAATGAAAGCAGACTATCAATTGCTATTACTGACATAGGTTGGATACTGGTTATTGCCCTGGGTATATATGTACAGTTACACAAAAACAACACAAAATAATGGCATAATTAGGCTAAGCTTTATTTAGATAAATTCGTGCATTTTTCATCGTTATTCGATGGCTTATAGTGTAAATCTGTAACATACCGGCGATAAGGATGTATTTTTTGGATACTATAATTAAACGTGATATGAACAGGTATTTACGATAGAAACTGCGATGAATGCTTTAAATAGATCTGTAACTAATTAATTATCTGAAACTAGAGATACAGTACATTGGTCATGCAGTTATTTGAATCAAATAGAGTAGATTACTTGTGATTATGCTAGAAACGACTACGGACGATTACTCAATCGTGGGAATTATATAACTATTAGTAGCTATACTTTAGTTGGCCTTTTTTCTGCGTTTACTAGTAGATAGCTCTTGAAGAGGCCTTAAGGCTTCCCATGACTGCCACAGCATAGCTAGAGGAATGACTACCCACAAGCCATTGAAGAATACCAAGTATATCCATAAGTATAATGCATTACTGGTATCCAGTGATGGGCTTCCAGTGATCCATTCAGGGGCGAAAGTCATCCATCCTATTTGAAATATTAGCAAAAGGATTCATATAAAGTTCCAGATTGAGAATGTTATATAATTTAAATTGAGGCATTATTATCTATGTTTATCATCATGTCTGGTATCCTACCTCCATAGAGTTCACATACACACAGTGTAATTTGCAAGAAATGCCTATGGATATCAGGAGAATGATGGTACTGGCATTAATTATTTTTTACAGGTATTGATTTGTAATAACTTTTATGTAGATTTCTGGAGCTGCACCTATAATGCTTGTTGTTCACTATAGCGTAAATGAGCCAAATGCAGACAGGACCACAAAACATTACAGTCAATATTTCAAGTGATATCAAGCCGGTGTCGAAATGGATCCACCTCGAATCAGCTTTTCCGTATTCTTTCCCTAATTTAAATATAATTATTCCTTGTTACCAACAAAGATTAACAGGACAATCGAAGTGATTGCGTAAACAACTGTCCTTTTAGCTAATATCTAATTAAAAATACTGAACAGTACGGCATTAGTTTTGCCATTACAATGAGTGATGTTGTAACAACCAACTTTTGACCTGACGGCTAAGAGGTTGTAAACATATTTTATTAAAGGATGTTATATATATTATATTCGTAGCAGCTCGTTGGCTATAATAGTTTCATCGATTATTGTATAGCAAAGCTGTATAGATATATGCATTATCTGCACTGCTATAATTACGTGATATTAATCAGGTAGAAATAGATTAACCTCAACTTTCAATTTACAGTTAGAAAGAGTTAAGGTAACGTGATCATCTCGATTTTTTGTACGTAGGTGTATCTATGTAAAAACGAAAAAACTATAATTTATCAACTTACATAACTCAGCCATATAGCCTTCTGATTTGGCCACTGTGCCATGGAATGACATGGAAAGGTAAGAAGCTTCCTAATCAAAAATTGTATAATTGTCTAGGATATTATGTAAAATATTAATTATAATATCCCAACTATTTTTGTTTATTTTATTTGTATCATTGCTGCAGAATAGTATTTTAAAAAAACATCCACAAGTGAAATGCTGCATAAAAGTTGAAAGGGATAATCTTGGAAGTTAGTAACTTAAGGTGGATATAGAATGAATCCGCAAAGAATAGTATAACTTTGATACTGCGTATGCATTGTCAACAGGTATTGAAATGCTTTTCTACAGAAGTATAGTGAGCGGATGATAGCATATTGAATAATAACGTTCTGTACTTCATATATTGATTGCAAGTACAGAAATAATACGATTAGCTATTGCAAACTTACTAGTGTAAAATGGGTAATGGCATCATAGAATAGCCAGATAATTATCCATTTATCAGCGGACAATTTTACGGAACGGTTTGCGAACCAGGCCAAGACTACAGCGGAGAGTAATTGAAAGAATGTCAAAGCTAGGCTATAAACGGCCACTTTTTGATCGCCAAATATTTCTTCAGTCATCTCTGCATACAACCTGTAAAGAAAAAAATAATATAACGAGTACTGTCTACACAGCGAGATCACGATCGTGCTATCCATTTATGGGTTATTTTCCATTATCATTAAAGCATAATACTGATCAATATTGCATTGAAAATCAAGACTATTTAATACAGTATACAGTACAATCCATGATTCAATTTGTCCTTTTATAGTATGACTGCTAGTTCAAGACTAGAATAGCACAATATACAATATGGATACATAGGTGAAATGTTTTATTATCGCCAAGTATGTAGAGATGGTCGATCAATAAATGCATGGAATCATGAAGAAAGGCAGAAAACCTGCAAGTCAGCACGCTCTAAACGAATACTAGCATAAGTTTGATTTCACTTTTAACCGAAACAATTTGTTGACACGGTCAACGATATAGTTCATTCCTAATACCTACTGGTATCAGGGGCTACTGAAAGAGAGAAGATATTATGCTACTAGAATTAGAATGGGACCGAATCTGTGCATTGCATTCTTTGTTACAACTTGGTATGGTATTTTTTTGGCTACTGGTATTGATGTGACTGTAGCCACTGTTCCTCCATCAGCTATGGCCATGAGGCCATGATGATGGTGTATTTTCACTGTGGTTGAAGTAACAACTTGTTGATCAGGCTTTGTATTGTAGACTTGGCACGAGTTGTATTTACCTTTTTTTTTATCATTAATGATGTTAAGTTGTTGAAAAGATTTTGGTCATCATCCTGGCATTATTTTATGGGCTGTAGGAACAAGTCGAGTGAGAAGTATAGAAACTACTGCAGACTATTTGGTTAGATTAGCAAAATGCCGAGTCGTATTCATTGCATGCATGATATGAACCCGATCATAATTTGCACGCCCATCTGATTTGCAAGAAGAAACTGCGCATTGCATTTTTGTTTTATTTTATCCGTCAGCAAGTATTCATTATTCCACGATTCGATTCTCGTTGATAGGACGACTAGAAATGTCTATTAGAGTATCGTCGATGAAGAGGAGTACGGTGATCCACTATCCCCAGTTGAGTACTGTCTCTATCTCAGAGCAACCTAAAAATCTATTTTCTTTTTACTTTCTACTGGGTATTTAAATGACTGCTATTGGAATTGCAATAACTTATAGCAATGGGGTTTATGCTATTTGTTAGTAAAATAAATAAATAAAGGAATTGCATTTATGCATGGATACACTATCCATGTTATGGACAGTATACCAATCGCTTGAACAAGGCAAGGCAGTCTAGTCATTGTGAAGCACTTGTGCTACTACTCTCCGAGGAGGTCGCATTGATGGTTTGTCGTCATTGTAGGCTGGTTTTCGCTTGATTTCCTATCCATGGCTTGATAACAATCGAGATCCGTCTATCATGACATATCTAGATACGCATACTTACGCTAATTTTTGGATCCAATTGAAACTAGCTGGATAGCAAGACGGAGTAATTTCCAGCTACGCTGCAGCGATTTCTTCTTTCTCCTAGCGTAAGGTGATTAATAGGTTAATGGCAACGACGGTTTGGATTCAAGGCGGTAATCCAAGTCCAGATTGGCTTCACAATTGATGTTGACATGGCTACGGTATCACCTACAGTACAGTATCACCTGTTTGCGCACAATACGTACTGTACAGTGTGCACTGTACACTGTACTGTACACTAGGATGATAGAAGTCCATGGTGCAGTTGCTGTGTACTGCATCGGACCAAAATGTGTAAAATAAATGTCATGTCATTTCTTGTTGCTAAAATGTAAACAACGCCTACATTTACGACATCTATTTTGCATCGAGGTGGATTGTATTGTATGAATAGACCCGTTGTGGTTGGCAGATTCAGGACTCTTCCAGAACCTCTGCGGTCTTGATAAATAAGTGTAGAAAATGACATGTACTTTAACTATATAGTTTGAAGTAGATACTAACAGTGCTCAACTTGCTGTAGAGTAGTATTGTACTATGGACTACAACTACTGTAGAACATCGTTGACGGTGTACAGTAGGGGACAAAAATCCCTGGTTGTACTGTTTAGACTATGAGAAGAAGACTATAGTAGGTATTGTAGTAGTTCATCGCTACCAAGTTGGTTTTACACAGTATGATGTCTAGTTACAGCTGTAGCGTATACTTCAATTGACCGTAAAAATCGCAGCTTCCATATGATTGTCTCCTCAGGGCCGCGTCCATCCTTCTCGTTTTCCGAATATTGAGCTGTCGCCATTGTATACTACTGCTATACAGTGTATTGAACGCCTATAACGTGTTATGTCGCTGACTGTACTTTCACTACTGTCTCGATCTTCGATTGGATTAATACGGGTGTTGTTATTTTTCTCGACCCCTTTTGCCCTTTGCCCTCATAGATTGATCAACTCCTAATGGAAAATTAGCTTTAATTGGCGAGTAGAGAAAGTATAACTTGTCCCTTGTTCAACAGAGTGGGTTTCCCTTATGCAAAACGAGAGGGAACTGAAGGCGATGGAAGATAGCAATGGATTTTCCTGGCAAAGAGGCGAAATGAAGAGACAAGAATCATCCACAGACGACGTCTTCTTGATCGAGAAACAAACCACTACTACTGCTGCTGGAAGCAATGGCCATTTCAATAAGCGATGCCATGATTCTTGTACCATCAATCAGACCTATTTCCAGCGTTGTATGGATCGACTTAAAGCTACAGCTAATGGCAATCATTACTCACCCTTATTACAACTGTTAACTCAAATTGATAACCTTACCGACCAAATTGAAAATCATTTTATCTCCTTGGACAAGTTGTCCGATAGCGAGAAATCACTGATTGGCTACGTCCAGTGTATCAAGATAGATATGATTCACTTAGTCGATCATCATTTATGGTATATATTAGATAGGATTCATACCTACGATTGTTGGCAAGATGGTACCAAAGGCAATGGCTATCGATCTGTTTTAACCGTGATGCAGTCATGCTTAGTTAAAATGAAAACAGTTTTAGCCAGTGTTCAAGTCAACATGAAAAAATTACTCTTTCGTTTAGCCAAATATTTGACTGAATTGGAAGATTTTACGCGTGTTTTCTCTCATCTAGCCAGTATGTTACAAGCCATGAAACAACTTATGATGTTAACATCGGACGGTCGATTATTTCATGAATTCAATAATACATCCCATGATTTTTTACAGCAAGTGGATAATTTAGATCAAGAATGTTTTTATGGCCGCGTTTTCGCATTTCAAGTAAGGCAAAGGACAATATTTATCTTTGTCCAATACTTGTTTCCCTATGAACCAGTCCAAATTGTGCTTTTGCAGTTTTACATTATTCTTTCACAAACTCTTTCGTCTCCGTTCATATGCGTATAGTTAATGTATCCAATCATGTCTAGTAGAATATATTAAACACATGCTTACAGTAGATGCAATAGACGGTGATTAGAATCCAACAGGATTCATTTACCCTAAGTTTATTAAAGTTGGCGAGTTATTTTCAAATGTCAACTACAAGGCGCTTAGTAAAGTTGTCACAAATAGTCCCAATGATATTTTCCCTTCGAGTTGGATGGATTTATCCACTGAGTAAATTACACATCTTGTCACAAATTGAAGGATACGAATTGTAATTTAATTCTCATTGACTCGTAGGAATAAAAGAAAACTCTTTATGCATTAACTGTACTGAGTTATTATTATTATTATTTCTATATCATAATACCAATCCTGTCTACTTTATTTTCTAACCTACTGAGCATGGACTACATTAATTAATTCCAAGTCTACTGGAGTGGTGTCAAAAATTGGTTCTCGTCTCTATTTTACAAACACAGAGTAAAACCCCAGTAGAAACATCCAATTTTTATTACCTCCATTCATATCGTTTTTTTTTTCGCTTATTTATTTGTTTTATTTTATAAACATTTGATCACGCCATCTCATCATAGAAAATGAATAAAATGAACCTTATTTTCTCTTTCCCATATTTAATCAGACATGAAGCATACGCCCAGTAGATCATCTATAGTAGTCAAATGATTCAAAGAAAATTTCAGTATAAAAGGATAAATCATTATTTTACAACTGTAATGTAAAATTTTCGACGTCTTCAGTCTATTGTGATTTAATTTGTGGTATCTAACCAACAATATCATAGGAAATTTTATCGCCGAAAATTATGACAATACCATTGCCCTATTTTTATTTTTTATCACCTCCTTATAGCGAATAGAACTGTTATTCTTGACGTCAATGCCAAACTGTGTTATATTGTGTCGTTATATCTTTATATTATTTGACTTGATTGAATTATCGCTTAATGCTGCATTCATCTTGTTTCTGCCTATAGTATCCGGACTCGATCGCGAATTCTTTAAAAGTAATTAATCTTATGATGGCGGCCTATGGTGAAGCTTTTGCCCGTCATAATAATATTGCTGTGCGCGCTGCTGGTTTAGTATTGTATAGTGCCAAGTATTATTCGAATCCACAATTAAAAGCGAGACAAATTGTCGATTTATCCAAAAATCAACAGATAGAATTTACTAAATCATTTTGGCAGCTGAACGAAAATCAGCTATTACGGGTAGGATTATATCAAGTACAATAATCATGATAAGCAAAGCATTCAAAAATATCTTATAATTATTAATTATACCATATTTTCTAGATACAATTATTTTTCTGAATATGCTAGCATTTGCAATCTTGAGTAGATAATTCATTTGCCGTTAATAGTAATTAGCTAAGCCAGGCGTACCGTGGCTGAATAGGAATACTTTAGAAATTGCCTAATTGCTATTAATTAATTTTTTTCAACATGCGTATTAATCTATTTTCCTATAATGACCAGCATGTACCGTCTTTGCTGTGTAACTCGGTTGCCGTTAACCAAACCATTCAAGTTAAAATGGAAACGATGAATATTCACAACACGGATAACAAACTGATGGTGATACCATTCCCTGGAAATAATCCTGATGCAGTGATCAATATGAGATTACTGTCATATTACGCTCGGAAAGGACAGGTAGATAATACGTCATACTACACCTATATTTGAATTTAGTATTGATCCTTAACGGTACTTTCTATTGAAAATTTAGGAAGTGAATAAGTTGGTCACATTTATGACAACGCTGCAATTTCGTGAAATGCCATACTCGAAAGGAATCGTAATCCATTTCCATGGCGGAGGATTTATTGCTCAGTCTTCCAGATCACACGAGGTAATTTTTAAAATATGAAGTGTAATAAGAAATTAAATATTAATAGTAAATAGGATTAATCAAATCATTTCCTATTATACGCTCTTATAGTTATCTTATTGTACATACTATCTCTACATATACCAGTATAGACTAAATGCACGCTTACTTCAATTAGATTTATCTAAGGTCTTGGGTAAGAAATTTGGATGTGCCAGTTGTTAGTATAGACTATACCTTGTCACCGGAAGCTTCATTTCCTTACGCTATTGAAGAATGCTTTTATGCCTACTGTTGGATATTGCAACATATTTCATTGATGGGTTCTACTGCAGAATATGTATGTTTGACTGGTGATTCAGCAGGTGCTACGCTTGCCGTATGTGTCGCTATGAGAGCTGCTGAATATGGTCTTCGAATACCTGATGGCATCGTGTGCTCATATCCTGCTTTCATGTTTAGAAATGCTGCTTCTCCATCACGTTGTTTGTCCTACTTCGATCCGTTATTGCAGCAAGGATTTCTAACAACCTGTTTGTCCGCCTATCTTGGCGTTACAGTCGACAACGCTCACGTAAATAAATCATCGACAACTTCCAATGGAATAGACAAAGTAGATAATGATAACATTGTTAATGGCGATATAGTAGATGAAAATAATAACATTCAGTGTACAAAAGATGTTCCTAAAAACGAAAGCAGCAGCCCAAGACCAATCCTTTCCTTAACCGATCATGTACTTGATAATCCATATTTATCACCTCTTCTAGCTGACGATAATCTATTATCCAAAATACCGCCTATGAGAATTAATGTAAGTTTATTATAAACTTCCAAATGCTATCGTAACAAGAAGATAGCAATTTTAACCGGGCACTAATCAACAGTGATTTGTTCATTCTTTTGATTACAATTCCTATTTTAGGCATGCGATCTTGATCCAATATTGGATGATTCAATTGCATTTGCTCGACGTCTGAAAAGGGTTGGTGTAGATGTTCAAGTACGGGTATTTTCTGAGTTACCGCATGGTTTTCTAAATTTTGTGTATATTAGTGAAGAAGCTACTGCTGCTTCTGATGAGATTGTCAGTCAAATGAAGTCATTTCTATCTGATAGCACCTCAAGCTAGAGATGCAATCAGATAGTAATTGCAAATTTACGTCTTCGATAAAATTGATCATTTTGATATTGCACTCATTTTATCACAACTTCGGTATTAAAAATATTTGTAATTTATATATATATTTGTGGAATAATTCCGAATATTTACAGTATAGCATATAAAGGATTATCTGTAGGAGATATTGTACTGCAATAGGTTATCGTGGAAATTGTTAATTTATTCAGTTTTCAAGTAATGATAATTCTACGGTATAACATTTCTGGTTAATGAAACTGAAAAATAGATATACATGTTACTGTATATTAATAGTAGATTTAGTTTGTTTGGAACTCTGGACATATGGATTTGAACTTTACCAATATTTATATTACATACACGCTTTCTACATTTATTCATGTAAGATGTGTGACGAGATATTTATGACACATTAGAAATATCAAAAGTTAATATTCATAGCATTTTTACAGTTTAACAATGGTCTCCTGTTCATCCTTATTTTGTTTTTAGCCTTATTAGCCTTTCTTATCTATAATGACTATTCACCTTAGGATACATTTTCAATGAAAATGTATCACAGTATGGCGATCGTTTTTAGTATAACTTGAGGATAATAAATAAAAATCTAAGTAAATTTTCACTGAGCTAATGCTGATGACGAAATATTGAGGTGAAGGATTTGTACGGAGTATTTACATACATCAACACAGTCAAAAAAATTCCATAAGTACATACAGTAATGATATTAAATAACTTTTGAATAAGTTAGTTGTTTTAGAAGTATTTGTGGAAACTAAAACAATCAAAGTGGCTAATTCTGTAAGATTATGTTGAAAATAGGTCATCTCTGCTATGATTACTTGTATCGTTATACAGTACTGAGTTGTCATAGTCGATGTAACCTAAATTTATTCGACAAGCTTCAGGCCGTGAAGTGTTCGCCATTGATCGAAAGCTATTGTAACAGAAACAATGTATAGCAAATTAGATTGCGAAAATGATCACATATTCAATATTTCAGAAAATGCGATCCAGTAGCAATTTATTTGTCTCACTAAAGGGAAAAATCAAACAGTATGATAACATTGTGTGTGTAAAGCCCTGCTCAAGGGTTCATTTCTAACCGTTTCGTCCATATTCGATATAAAATGCCTCCGATAATCACCAACAGACAAAATCCAACACTAATCCCAATAGATAGCATTTGAGTCACGGATTGTCGTGTTTCATTAGCATCCACTGCTAGTAACAGAATTTAAAACTCATTAACTGCGTAATAAGTGGCAAAAAAAATTGAAATTATTAAAGCCCAAAATGACTTATTACCTGTAGTATTGACCCTAGTATCATTAATACCTATTTAGCGGTATGAGATAGTTGATTATTTATTGATCATAAAATGATACATATATTCAACATGGATATAAAAGTATTATCAGAATTCTTACCGTGGCTATCGGAGAGACTATTAGTATGTGTTGGAGAAATTGAATTTAAGATTGTCGAAGTTTCTACATCAGGCTTAGAAGTTTGTGTTGCGGTAATCATTAAATCGGGAGAACATACGGTTGATGCGCTTGGAATTAATTTATCTGTAATCATAGATTCTTTCTTTATCGTTGTTGAGATCTCGATTTCTGTAGTTGTAGTTGGGTTAGTCGTAGTTTGTAAGGTTCCAGTTTCATCAGTTATCGTAGCAGATAGTATGTCAAGCGATGATGAAGTGGACGATGAACGGCAACATTTAAATGGAGAAGCTAAGAGTAATAATTACGTCGTTTAAGTAAACAGAAAGTGACCAGAAAATTTGAATATCAAGTCAAGTTATAAAAATTTGCAACGTAAGGCAACTTACCTGCTCCAACGAGCAACATTAATTTTAAGCTGTCTCCAATGTAATCTCTAGAAAGCAAAGTGCAAGTGTAGCAATTTTGCGGCTTTAACCCCTTTAAAATGAGGGAAGTTTGATTTGTATCGGTTTGAATAGAATGACAGAAATGGTTCGTCGATGCACACTCTACGACATAGTGATGCTTGTGATGATTATCGTCAGCATGAGACCAGGTGAATAGAGCAGAGGAATTAGAGCGATTAACAAGTTCAAAATGTTTCGGCTCCTTAGGTGGTACTACATTTAGACATAAAAATGGAGTAAATATAATAATTGTTGATTTTTTATATCGTGTCATGCTAACTCTCTCTTCATCTACTTTTGGATTGTTAAATCATTCCATTACCTATTTTTACTGTAAGCATTATAAGAATAGTTAAATCACAATGAATATTTACAAAGCTATACGTAGCGCACAAAATTGTAGTCATTTTTACGTTGTAGTTGATTATACAACATTAAGGAGACTTGTTAGTTTTTTATTTGTTGAAAATATCTAAAAATTGTAATGGTTGATTATTCACAATTTATTTACACCCGGCGCTTAGCAGAGAATGATGTATTTAAATAAATAATAAACTATTACCTAAGACATTGAGTTTAATAGTTTTTTTATCATCTTGCATAGCGGAAAAATACGAAGCAGCACATTTATAAATACCATCATGGCTTGTTGTGATATTGAGGATAGTGATCCCTATTGTAACATTTGTCATTGATTTGTTATAAAAGCTTTTAACGGTTGATTGATCTCCTTCGTCAATTAAATAATCTTTATTAGAATTCATAACCAATAAGTATGGTGGCCACGTCTTTTCTACTTTACCAAAGGATAATAAATCTAAAGGTCTTCCTTGATTGTCAATTAGCCTGGCTGTACATTGTAAACTTATAGTTTGATGGATTACCGGGGAAATTGGACTATTAGGTGTTATTATAACATCGCTCATGACATGAGCGATGTCTGCCAGAAAAATAACTATTACTAGAAAGAGCAACGCCAATTTATTCCACATTAATTAATTTTTTCTGCTATAATTGCTAGATGGCAATCTAAAATTTGAAATTATGTAAACTTTAATTTATTATTACTTTCTTTACATCAACAATTGTAGAAGTACATAAAATTCATTAAGGAAATTAGTTTGCTAAAGCTTTATGAACTTCTAAATTACACCAGTCGATATATATTTATTGTCTTATCCTTAGGCTAATTTAACAAAACAGTTTATGATGACATAAGCTACAATAAAATAAAGCTTTTATAATGACGAAATGCGAGAGAGTTAATTTATTAGTATCTAAAGCGGATAGAAGGGGTACAACCGTATAAATTATGAACTATCTCTGGCGGGTATGGTAGTCGCTGCTACCGTTAATACTACTCAATAAATTGTTTTATTCCATTCTTTTAGTAATCTCTGTACTGTGGCTCAACGGATGTTTATTATATTATTCAATAGACAATAACTTTTTATTACTATGTATTAAAATTTTAATAACTTTATTTTATTATCAATTAACCTAGGTATACATAAATGATAATGGGGGCAGCATGAAGTAAGTACCTGATATTAAGTTGAAGGTTTGGTAAAACTGAAAGGTGGTACTGGATAAATATCTTCAGTCACCGTGGTTAATTTCAATGGTAAGGAATTATTCCATGTAATGGCTATACGCTGTCTTATATGCCTTTATACTGGCATTTTGAAAGTGTTGTTTATCATGTGTTCATTGGATTTTTCGAGTCTATTAATATCACGATGTATATTATTTATTTATAGCAGCGAATTAGTTTACCTTATTTCACGTTACGTTGATTGCATGGTTGAAAGACGTAAATTATTGCTAAAAATAAATTAATGCTATGTAACCTTAGCATACGTACGCGTGGGCAGGTATATTTTATCTGTTACTATGTAGGGCGTTCTATGTCTTATATTGGTGATGTTGATGTTGTTTTTCGATAAGGACCACTCGACAACGAGTTGTTTTCCCCCTTCCTTATACTGCAGAACATGAGAAGAAGAAAAAAATTGATAGCGTAGTCCGTATTGTTAACAGGCTTAATATAGCAAAGCACACGATGTTGGCTTTATCTTCAAATATGGGATCTACTCGCATAGTTTATATGGATCATAATTGGCCGTTTATGGGAATGTGAATACTTATGAGTATATTCTCCCCTTCTATACTTTAAGATTGCGAAGAAATTGGTGAATAGTCTCTACTTTTAACGGGGTTAATAGTGAAGGATACGATAATAACCGTGTCCTTAATATGTTATATACGGATTATACGTGCACATTGAGTATAGTCGTAATTTCTGAAATGGGAATACCGTTATTTTCTCTTTTTATAGATTAAATTAAGGAGAAATCATAAATACTGAAGTACTTTTAATTTTAGACAAGCTAATAGCAAAAGGGTACAACAATACTTCTATCTTTAATAGTATATGTGCTACATATATGTGCATAGAGAGAAAGAGAGAGATACCATAATTGTAGTCTGTGAAATATTAAGTCTCTGACTATTATGTAATATCGCCTCTGTTATTGCTTCATAAGGGGATCAAGTTTCGGTCATTAGAGCTCTTTGCAATTTCTGTGATGAAGACAATTATAACCTTTTATCACACCCCATTGGACGTCATAGAGTGAAGAGAAATGAAAAATAATGCTATATTCAGCTATAAGTGGTTACTATGTCATCGTCTACGTGTAGTGTATTTATGTTTCCACTACTTCTGACAGTTACCAAAACAAATTTGAATACCAGTGTGATTTGTTGTTAACTGCTAGGATATGCATATTGAACGGTGTAATATTAGCCTAGTAGAAATGTATTACTAGGTTAGAAGTATAATGAAAAGTTGATAGACTAAACAAGTTAAGTTTTCTGCTAATCTATCTCAATCATTTGGTAAATTTGAGCTGATATTTGCCAATATTTAAGCGATCAAATTCATATTGCGTAACTTAATTAAAGTACAGTACAGTACAATGAGTGTACTTCTGGGCTTTGGATATTCAACTCCAATACCTAACTTAAATCATATCGAACCTCCTAGTTGAAAGCTTAATTTGAACATCTACATCTTATGAAATTGCGTTAGTGCATGGTAAAATTGGCATTGAACATATTATATATCATTCTCTGGACGCAGTTCAGCCCATGTCAGTTTGAAAATTCAAGATCTTTTAGCATCTAATACCGATACTGCAATACGCTTATATGAAGATTGCTCGATGCTGTAGTTGCAAACGATACAACGGAGATTCAGGACTGAGAAGGAAATCTTATATTTAGATTTATAGAAAGTGATCCTCATAATATGGTAGACACTTTACCAGTCCTTCGTCAGCTGAGCTGGCAGGGAGTAAACGAATGATTTAATTGTTTCGCCTACTGTTCATTTAGGTATCGTGACTATTTGTTCTGCTGTCGACTCACTTCAATACTTGTCATTCTCCATACTAGAAATTCTATGAAAATTCTTTTAGCATCAGGTGCAGTCTTTGGTATTCATTTTAACCCTAAGCCTCCCTCCTTAAACTGCCGGCTTTTTGTACCCTCAACGGCAGTTTGTCCATTTTCTATTCGAAGTCACGGTTCTCTATCCCAGATACTATGTATTCAATAATTCATCTTTACAATACTGTAAAGTGTACACTGTACAGTACAAGTCTATTTGTATCAGAGGTCAAAGAGGTTTTTCTTTTACCCCTAGACAAACTAAAGTGATGACTAGAACCATGGACTAGAAGACCTTCCTCTAGTAGTCCATGCTAGCACACAAGATATCTGCTGTATTTCTCCATTTTTAAAACAAGCCCAACGTGGGAATAGAAGCTAACAAAAATATGTTGGCGACTTGCGGTTTTATTTCACTACTCTGCGATGCAACCGCAGACGATGGCCATGGTGTGCCAAACCACTGGTCTAACCCACGGCTTCTGACACAGGATGCATGCCTGCTGGTCGGGTGTGGTTGTTCAAGGTCAGGCGATGATGTCATTCTTTTAAGTTACGAACGCACCAACATTCCAACAATAGTGTACAGTGCACAGTGTACAGTATGCGCTGCGGCTTGATTTCTGTATATTCACTGTACACTGTACGGTACCGTACGTACAGTACCAGTACTACCTCCACCGGTCTGGTGGTTCGAGGCCATCAGCAACTGGAAAGTGTTGATTCAGAAAAAGCTCATCAATTGCTGAAGAGGAAGGTGCATCTCCGGTGGATCTTACTGCAGAATCGTGCTGATCGACAGAATTTGAGATATCGATTGTGCATTAGCAAACGTGTAGGCAAAATCTCAACGTGGTCAAGACACTTATATCTTGGATAGCAAGAGTACAGCATGGCGGAAGCAAATCCTAGTCATCCATACCACCCGAAAGACCTGGTCATACCCCATTATAGGCCAAATGATATCACTGCTTTGGATATCTTAACAGTCATGTTCTCCGGTTTTGGTGTTGTTTTTGTTGGTGCTCTCTTAATTAGTAGCGGAGCTCGGCGGCGATTATCATTTTTAGACAAGTTATCCTTTTCTTGGTTTGTATTGTGTGGTTTCATTCATATGATCATTGAAGGCTACTTCTCTCTTTATCACCAGACTTTAGCAAATCACGACTTTTTCTTAGGCCAGCTCTGTAAGTCGGACGGTATCTGACCTTCTTCATGCTACCGTAATAACATCCATTAAAACACTCTGTTTAAAATCGATGCTTGCCTAACACACTTGAAATAAGATTCCATGCTCATTTAGGGTTGTAATGCTATCTTGCATGTTGTAGTATGCTGACTGTCGTAGTTCTTAACAAGTCAACCTATGGATACTACTTTAATTATGATATAATATACGTCTAGAATTAATTATATATGTACAGTATAATTAATTGAATGGATTGATCACTACAGTAGCAATACTTCTGCAATTACTACAACCTAGACAGTAGAGTAATTACAGTCTGCTCGAAATAGGATGGCTTACTGTAGTAGTGATGAATCATGTATTACCATCGAAAACTTTCATCAAGTAACGATAAGTTGTTTATTTTAAATTGACAGGGAAAGAATATTCTTTATCCGATAGCCGTTACCTAATGTAAGCAACAACAATTTTTTCTTTACCAATCCCTACAATTGAGTATCTCTATCCCACCAAAGTATCAAGCTATCAATTCCTTTTAGAAAGGCTTCAAGAAATGATGAATAGTGTATATATAATATTGCTAAGCTAAACATGATTTACCTTTGAATTGATAACTACTTCTATAAAAATTGATGCAGTAGTTTAAACGTTATACAGTAGACTGCCTCAGCAATGCACATTATCGTGCCAAATTTCTACACGTTTTAAAGTGCAATTTTTGCGATAGATGGAACTCACTGATGTAACAGTAATGGTTAACAAGATCGATGCATGAGTAAATGTACGCCTATTCATCATTAACGTACCTACGACTAATTGATCTCAACTTTCATTTGTAGATCTGATAACTTTACCTTGTGTATGGAAACCATCACTGCGTTTGTTGAAGGTCCAGCGTGCTTCCTGTTAGCTTATGCTGTCATGACCAATAAGTCTTACAGAAATGTTCTGCAGTTATGTATCTCACTTGGACAGTTATACGGTGACGTTCTCTATTTTGCTACTGGATATCGTGATGAACATAAATACACCAGTGATTCCCATCCCATTTATTTCTATTTTTATTACTTATTTTTAAATATGTTATGGATCGTTATACCAACGATTCACATCATAGTTTCCTTTTATAGATTAAGTAATGCGCAAGCATGCGTTGATTCTAAGAAGGTCGCTAAGAAAACAAATTAAAACTCGTCAGTGAGCTCTACTTAATTTCATACTGCGTTTTAATGTGATGCTACTTCATTTGTCAATAAAGAACTAAGTTCTGGTTCATTATTATATCATACATTCAAAATATAGTTTGATGTCTGTTTTAGCTAGCTAAAATTAATCAACAATAATATGTAGATTTAGACACTGATAGGAATATAGAATTGGTAATGGTATTTGCAAAATAAAAAAAATCGATTTTAATATTAGCGCTGTGTTCTTGATGATACATGCTGCAATTTTTCTTGTTCATATCCATATTCGAACATTTTACACCACTAACTAAAATAATCCAACGTAGCTTTGGCCTTCTCCATTTCATGTAAGAACGAATAAAATTGCGGTAAACTCAGTTCTGAAAAGTACAGTAGAATGCATATTTAAAATAAAGTTTATACCTATAGCAGTTAGCATGTTAAGACTCATTAAAGACTCATTAAAGATTCATAGAGTTGGCAAAAATTCTAATTTTTTACCCATATATACATCTTGATTGCTATCTCCCTTGTTTATAACTAATTTGAGCTGAAACATTAGTAAATACACAATTTTGTTAAGATGATATTGGGATAATCGAAAAATCGTGCACCTACAATATCCCAGCTACGGTGAGTGCATTTATCTCAAAACCCTTACCTGCAGAAAAGTACTACCAGCTTTTTCCAAATCATTACTAGCCGCTGTTACTGTTGACATTTTATAAAGCGAAGCATTAATTTTAATTCAATTCCAACTGTAGTATAGAGAATACAGAAAAGCTCAATAATTACCTCCAAACCTCCATTCCATGTCAACGAGCTGATTAACCATTAGTGTTTGATCAACTTGCGATCGAAATAACGCAACTAAATTTGATTTCCACTAAAATAGGAGAAAAACGTAGTAAACTATCGTTACAATCCTTGTACAATAGTCTAGAAATAATATAAATGTCTATCATACGGAGGACAGTATTTGTCTATGCGTACTATGTCATACAAACAAGTTCTCTATTTTTAAAGGTTATCGATCAAGTATGATTTTACGCAATCATTTTTAACATGATGCAAACTTAATGGCAGTACCTGCTTAGCCACAAATTTAGCTTTAACTTCTGATAAACCTGACAACATAGAATGAAATATTAGCGACAGCAATATTAATCTTAATAATGAAATCTATTAATCAAACAATTACTGGTATATATTCTATCCAAATGTACGACACAGCTGAGCATTATCATTTACAAATTGTTTGAATGCTATACAGTACTTCGATTCTGTAATAATTAGGGAAATCTCTAATAGTATCAATTATTTTTTGAATACGTACAAGTAGAAAGGACATAATCATGTATATAATAGCATTTTATCTTCATATTGCCTTTATAGAGAACATAAGAGTCCAAGTTAATATCATATAACGGTACCTAATTCAGATAGGTCTTCAAAAACTTGATTGCCATTCATATTGTTTTTCATAGCAAGGCGACAAAATGTTAAAAATGATCGAATAATATTCTTTAACGCATTTACATTGATGCCATTGATTTCAGCAAATTCTTCCAATCGCGCTAATAGTCGTGCAGACTACAATATAAGAGGTAGCTGATTTTTAAAATGGTGTGATATAAAGATACTGAATATACTCAATCTTGAGATTGATATTGTATATCAGATATTACTGCCAGTGTGATTAATAGTATGCTCTATTTTAGTATACACGTATAAAATTAGCCAATATTACGATAAAATTAGCAACCTCAATCCTGTACCTAATCAGTTACTGTATGCCATTTATCATGCGATATTATTTTACACTATTTATTGCAGTAGTATATATAGAATTATCATGGTAAAAGTAAAGTATAGATGTACATGTGAACATATGTACAAACTTGAACAGAACAATCAGAATTCAGAAACATGTTGTATCAACGTGCCCAGATATACTGTACTATTACTCTATACGCGTAGATGCATTTTATAAGGTATGATACAAGTGTTCAAAATATATTGATGGTAGGCAAAGCGATTTAATCAATCATTGGTGAATTAGCTTTCCTGATTTGCTATTTTTAAAACTAATACAGCCGTAATGAGTATAAGCCATAAAATTGTTCTTCATTGTACCTGTTGGGCTTCTGTTAAGAATGCAAAGACAATTTCTTGCAATTGATTGAATAGCTGCAAGAAAGGAAAACACCGTTTGAATTAATACAATTGCTTTGAACTTGCTTCATTTTCGTATATCCACAACTGTATTCAAGGTAATAATTTCTTTGAATACCGTTATACTCTGAATATTAATAATACCTTACAAGATGCATAATAAATCATGCTATGACATTTTAATCTACGATTGAATTATTTATTGACATACAGTACAGATAATGTAAACTTTGAGAGAATGGATGAAGAGGTCAAGTCGATTGAAGATGATGACATGATCAAGACAGCTAGTAGCTACTATTAGATCGCTACAAGTTATTGTACTCCACTTTAAGCATTGGATTTGCAACATGAAAGAAGTGATGTTATAGCTGTTACTACCTCATCATTGAATTTATTGAGTGATCCAATATCGTTGACGAGTTGATCATCGGGTTTTTCCGAGGTATAATGCAATAACTTCATGTTGAATTTCTGGGTTTGTCTTGCTTTCTGCTAGTGGATATCCGAGTAGTAATAAATGTTCTTTTTTACTGTGCTGTGGCTTGAATATTGCAGTACATACAGTAACTGTATTACCGTCTATAGTACAGCGTCCAAGTTCATGGGCTACCAGAAGAAGGAGAACGTAGCCTGGTCTTCTTCTAGTAGTCATTGACACTTGACCAGTGACAGTGGTCAGCCGCAGTACTGGACATCCATGTCTTCTGGCATTCTATAACACATTCTACAGTGTACAGTGTACAGTACAGGACTCGGAATTTACAGAGTACTGTACATTGTACACTGTACAGACTGCACAGTGCACAGTACACTGTACTGTACTGTAGCGTACTGTACGCACGACAGCAATATGACGACCGTACTGTACTGTACAGTACAGTAGAGTTCAAACGTTCAAACAGGACTGACTGGGTCTCATTCTACAGTGTATAGTGCACAGTACGCTGTACTGTACTCTTGCGTACTGTACGCACGACTGCCATACTGTACAGTACAGTATGACGACCGTAGAGTTCAAACGTTCAAACAGGACTGACTGGGTCTCCAAGACCTGGATCTTGCTCACAACCAAAAGCAAAGTGAATTTGCGACATTGCTGGACTAGACGCCCTGGTGGAGCGATCGCGGACATCTTCCTCTTTTACAGAGTCCTCAAGGTGAATTGTTAAGGTAATTACAACTTGCACAACATGGCGGCTCGATTACTTGCCTCAACTTTGACACGTACAATACTACCATTAGCACGATTATCAACACCAAAGACTGCATCTTTGGCTTGTGCTAATCGACTGCTTCAATTGCAAGGATTGACCAGTGTACGGTACAGCTGTACTGGCAACTCGCGATTTTGCGGCGTCTCCCAAACGGCTCCTGATTTTAAGGGTACAGCAGTCATCAATGGAGAGTTTCAAGAAATTCAATTGAGCGATTATGCTGGTAAATATGTGGTGCTATTCTTTTATCCAATGGATTTTACATTCGTATGTCCAACTGAGATATTGGCATTTAGCGATCGTGCTAAGGAATTTGAAGAGTTAAATACACAAGTCATTGCATGCTCCATTGATTCTGAGTACAGTCATTTGGCTTGGACTACTGCATCGCGTAAAGATGGAGGCTTAGGCGGTAATCTTAATATCCCTCTATTGGCCGATATTACCAAGAAAATTAGTAATGATTATGGTGTATTGCTGCAGAATGCAGGCATATCGTTGAGAGGACTATTTATTATTGATGGCAATGGAACTCTCAGGCAAGCCACCGTCAATGATTTACCGGTTGGTCGTTCAGTAGATGAAACGCTACGTCTTGTCAAGGCTTTTCAATTTACCGATAAGCACGGTGAAGTTTGCCCTGCAAATTGGCAACCAGGATCTCAAACCATCAAACCAGATCCAAAGGACAGCAAGGAATACTTTTCTAAGCAGTAAAAATCCTTAAGTCCTCGACAGCGTGTTGTGATTGCGATAGCCAAGAAAAATGGATTATTCCTAGATAACCTCTGCAGTAATGGATCAAAGCAAACTTATTAGTGCAATTATGCAGTTGCAAATACGTAGACTATACTTTCTAATCTATGAAATACTGTATTGGTAACAATAATAGTACAGTACTGCTACTACATTTATATGTCCTGTTGTCTTGCGTAACAAATTTCTATTTAATTAATGGTCATTGTAATAGGTACTTCATCTAGCACTATGTTATGGATTTCCCTTGATATACGCCTAACGTATTTTAAAGGAAAATAAACGTAAGCTTTTATTATGAAATTCGAAATAATTAAACAAGACATTTGTGGCACACACTTATGAAACTTATTCGTTGATTTACTGTCTATTTTTGCCTCTATTTCATCCATTAAAAGTTTCAATTTAATGAAGCGCAAGCGTTAAATTTAACTTTAGGTGGTTGAGCAACAGCATTGCAGTCTACAGACTTATACGTATACGATGTACGTACATACACGTATATTTCGCTTGATTATTCCATATATCTATTTTGTGTCATTCGACGGAATGAAGTCGACCTAGTTTCTAGGTACAGTCTTGGTACAGTAATATGCATGCCCACACGTGAGATCTACATGTACTGTAGTGATATGTAGCAAGTTCAAATTTATTACTAATGTAATATACATTCTGGCATTTGACATTTGCTAAAAATCGATAAAATTCTTATCAGCGAATGTGAACACAATATCCATATCGTTGTATTTCTCTCGTTCCTAAATTAAGCGTATACAATATAAAACAGCCATACTGTAATAATTCAGGAATACTATTGATATATAAGCGTATATATGAAATTTTGATCGAAATTGTAACTACAGATTATCATTTTACTAGTCATATTGAACTACACTAAGGCTTCTATCCAGTATTAATGGTAGTACCTTTTTCCTAAAACAGACTCTGTATTCTGGATACTTCTCATGTAGACGACATAATTTACCCATGCTTAAGTTCGTAGAGTACATCACATTAATAGCACCTAAATATACGCAATTTTACAGTCGTACACGTACGTAACGTAACCAGACCATTGGATGATAATACAGGTAATTGTAATCACAAGGTTATAGAATAAATTATCAATCAAGTGTACTCTTGCTATCATTATAGAACAGTGTGTTTGTGCTAACAACTATCGCCTTCATAATCTCCTGTACGCGGATAACAATATAACCGTGTACCAGACCTTGAACAGGCATGTAGCCATGATCAATTTTGAATTAATTGCCTACCGTATCGATGCATGCAACTACAAATGCATCTGTGCGTTTGCTCGTATGTGCGATAATGTATGCAATAATAAAAGTAGGTACGGTACACTCGTATATAGTCTACCTAATCTAGTTGATTCGATTAATTTAATTTAATGTTGCCATAATTGGCCCAGAATGCATAAGACATGTAGCAGAGTGAATGTTTCGAAACGGACATGATTTCTGTTAACAAAATGAAAAAGTACTGGATAATTTTTAGATATAAGAAATACTGTATAATCCACTAAAGTAATACAGTTTGTGCCACTTTTATAGAGCTCCATCTATATTAAGTATTTTGCACATGAGTTTAGTTTAATCGATAAATTGAAATGTTAGTGTTATAGCCATAATATTCCATACCAACGTAGCTTTAGTAGCTACTTATAGTTAATTCCAAATTATGTAATCCTAATATTGAAAGATAAACAGCAAGTATACAAGTATGCTGCGCAACAATATCTAAATACGAACCTAGTATATACGTATTTATGCATTTTATATCACAGTTCAATAATTACGTAATAAGATAATTCAGTTTTAATGAAAACTTAAAATTGAATTCTACAGTACTATAAAATTGATTATTATTATGGCGATGACATTACTGCTTCATCAGTAAAAAGATAATTGTAAAATGAAAGATAGCAACAAGCTGTATACACGGCATAATCCACACATATTGTTTCGCCGATCAAAATGAATACATGGCTCGTGCTATATTTACACAACAACGACAGTCGATTCATAATAACTTGACACTGCAAGATTATTACGCTCTTATATGAAAAGTAAGTTAATTTACCAATTGTTTAGCTATGCTAATCTGAGAATCTTCAAAATAAGAAACAGTAAGTATAATTAACAGTATGAAATGACATTAATACTACAATTAACTAACAATATACTGAAATCTTATAAATAGATAAATCTACATTAACATAATACACCACATCAAGTATATTGATATACTAACGTAATTTGTAACAAAATGTAGCATATCTTATCACCGTTTCGTTATACTAAACCATTATCAAAAGGCACTACTAGAAATTGCGTCGCTACGGAAAAGCGTCGCATTGAATATTAATGTTGTACACTCATTTTAGACAAATAATGAACAATGAAAATTCATAGAATGTAGACTTTTCGTGTGACTTCTCTTTCAGCTGAGCGTGACTTTTAAGCAAGACCAGTACTGCGATTTAGCGCATTTTGACACTAATTAACTCTACCAATAATTCAATTACCACATTTGATGAGGAGGTCCAGGCGGGCCTCTGACACCTGGAGGACTCATCGGAGGTCCATAGCGCGAAGGTGGAGCGTATGAATCATATGGTGCTGGATTACTTGGAGGTCCACGAGGGCCAGAACCTGATCGTCGTGGAGGATCATTTGGTCTAATAGGGCCTCCAGGTCTATGCATGTCAGATGGCATCCCCATACGTGGCCTAGGACCACCAGGTCGAGGTCCCATTGGACGTGAAATATTAGGACCTGGACCACCAAGAGGTCTAGGACCTGGATTTGGAGGTCTACCGGGACCGCCAAGAGGTCTAAATCTTGGTGGACCATCTCCCATACCTTGATGCGGTGCCATAGGCCTTGGTTTTGGTACAACTATTTCAACATTGCTATCGCGCTCTCCAGCTTGAGCTCTTATTCCAGGCCGTTGAGATGGGCTGTAGCCAGGATTGGCCTGTATAGGCCAAGCAGGATTAGAATCACTTATTGATCTATTTGGTGTATCTATCATGTGGTAAAAGAGTATTAATAAATACACACAATTTTCAAAAAATCATTCATTAACAATTATAAGTCATGTACCTGGAACTCTTCCACCGAAAGGTCTCTTGACAAGGAGTTTGATAAAATTACCAGACTGTCTTAGCATTCTATACGCATCGTCAACTTCTCTTACAGGGAAATCATTTACTTCTAAGATACTATCTCCGACCTATTTATAATGTTCAACGAGATGCATTGTTACACCTTTTTCACTTATACAGTAGTTAACAAGAGCCTACAACAACTACAACTACAGTACCTGCAATTTTCCCATTGCTGGACTGCCAACAGTTACTCGAGACACCACGATAGTCGGAGGACTTGAATCAAGATCTTTACGCAACATAAAGCCATGATCATTATGCACTCCTTGAATTTCTATTGTAAATATACGACTTTCAGAGTCAGGTCCTCCGGGAGATTTAGGTTCATTATAATCTTGGAACCTATTTGACTGTCCAGGTGATTGTTGGTTGGCATAATTAGGTGAATTAAACCTATTTGAAGGTCCTCCAGGCATATTAAATCTATTTGGAGCTACAGGACCGCGAGGTCTAGGATCATTATTAAACCCTGGATCAGCTCCAGGTCCTCGATATCTCGGATCGCCTTTATTCATGTTAGGTGCAGGTCCTCTGTGATATCCTGGTGAAGCTGGACCTCGCTTCTCGTGACGAGGGAATCCTTCTTCACCATGCATTCCGTCGGACTAAAAAAGTCAACAAAATCGTATGATACATTAATGATTGCTTTCTTTCAAGTAACAAAAGAATAAGTGCCAGATAGTCTTTGCATATCCTCCTCTAGCTCTACTTAATAATGTAATAACAATTACTAGCAATAGTAAAAATAAAACAGAAAATCGCCATTTTACGTTACCTTAGGACCGTTTTCAATCGGTAATATTCTTAAAGAGCAACTCAAACCGCTATTTTTGATCATATTTACTATTTCTGAGTGATGCATATTTCGAACATCGCGATTATTTACAGAAAGTAACTGATCTCCAACTTGTAAGCCATTACGGTCAGCAGGTGATCCAGGTAATATTTGACCTACGAAGTCAACAACAGAACATATTCTTCAGTGTTAATTCCTACTTAATATTGGTTACAAGACGCTACCGACATTCGAATTACTTACCAATAGCTGAACCTCCTTGGCTATATCCAAGGTCAGATTGAACTACAAATCCAAAAGATTCTCCTTCATGACGACGGTGTAATGAAACCGATATAGGCTGCTGATTTCTAGCTTGTGGTGGTGGCCCTCTCTCAGGCATCCGATTATAAGGGGGATGCGCATCTAAAAAATGTAACGGTTTTACATTAGAAAATATAAAGTAAATCACGATTCCATAAATAAATAATAACAATATTAAATACATACCTGGGTGACGACGAACGATAAGAGATACAAATCCTTGAGTTCCAGCTTTCTGCATTAAAGATATAACATGTTGGTGACTAGCTCTTTGCACATTGACGCCATCGACAAATGCAATTTCATCGCCAATGCATAATCTACCGTCCAAATCTGCG